TTCCAACATTTATTATCGGGCAAATGATAGATTTTTGCAAGCTTGACTGGTGTCATGTACCACCTGTAAATCATTTTCATAATATTCTCTCTTAAGGCATTACATGCCGTAAACTTCATACCTGTGGTCCATAACTGTTCCCAGTCAGCCATCATTATATTATGTCCAACATCTTGTGCCCATTTAATCATAGCAGATTTCACCATTTCATCCTGAGTATTCCATTTCAACAGCAAGTTATACATCTTTGACAAAATCTTGGTTTTGGGTTCTAACAATTCTGTTTCCAATTTTGATTTTTCCAACCCCCTGCCAGGTGGAGAGTGGCAGACTTTGGCCTCTCAAATATCAGCGGCGTCCTGCGAAACGCTAACATTTGGTACTCCCCCCTCATCACTCCTCCCCATCATCCCCATCATCATGGTACTCCTGCCCATCATCACTGCAGTGCCCAGTGCAGCTGAACTGGTCATGCTACCCTGTAACTGCCTCTGGAGGGACCCAGTCATGTAGAAGACCGGGATCTGAACTGAGGGTGCTCACCATGCCCTTAACTTCGCCCCCGCCTCTCTGCACCATTATAATTATGAGGGGCATTTAGAACAGTAGAGCCATGATATTGTCTGAAATTCACTTGGCTTTTGGCTAGGTCATCTAGCTTGAAGGAATGATGTCATCTTCTGACCACTCATGTAACCCTGATACTGCTTTGTACTGTTGCCCTGTTTTGTTTTTATTGGTTGGAATAAAAATGATATTTTATATAAGAACTTCATTAGGCTGGCACGAGGAATCGAGTGAATAGCTCTCTTATGTTCATCCAGCTGCTGCAACTCAGGGCTTGGACTGCTCTCCCCCCCCCCCCCCGCAAACACTTGCATTTGACAGAAATTCTTTTAAGAACCCACATTTGAAATTTTCACCCCAATCTTGTATGATTTCAACAGAGGCAATGGCAAGCTAATGCCCTCCGGTTTCAGAGGATTATACGCGGTTAAATAAAACAGTGAAAAAATAGCAACACTCTTCACTGAGCTGTGGAATGCGACAGAACAGACCATTACGAGTTACTCAGAAGTAGGGCAAACCCATTGATATTTCTTCATTTAGCACCAAAGCATCAGGCCTTTTTCCAACTCAGTTTCCATTCTCTTTGCTAGTTAACAACTTTGGGGTACAGAAAACACTTCAGAGGCTGTCCAAGAGCCAAACACTGCTGCTTAGCAGCAGCCAATAGCCAATAAGAAAAATATAAAAGACATCATTTACACCCCCCTATTAAAAGAAATAAACAGAGCAAGGGTTCTATAGCAACCTAGAAAGCAGAAGATGTAATTAAAAAGCAGAAATACTTCTGATTGTCACGAAAATGGTGCTTTTTGCATTTATCCATGCACCAGGAGTGGCCTAAATATTTAATCCTATGAGCTGCATACCAAAAACCCTCATATGATCGGGAGTCACAAGACACACACACAACTATGCCTCTTCAGTCAGACGCAGTAATGCTTCTTAACACGAGTTGCTGAAAACCCCAGGAGGAGAGAGGGCTCTTGTGCTTGGATTCTGCTTGCAACTTTCTCACTGGCATCTGATTGGCCACTGTGAGAACAGGATGCTGGAGTAGATGGACCACTGGTCTGATGCAGCAGGCTCTTCTTATGTTCTCTCCTCTTCCCATCCCCACACTTAGCCAAGAATCCCAAATATCTCACCAAAGAAGACGAAAAACAAGCTGCTTTAACAGTCAGACATTCCTACAGTCCTCCTGTGAGGGGCATTTTGGATACTTATGCTTGCTGTTTACAAATGTCTACATACTATACCTTGCTTACATGAGTAAATTACTCCCCCAGTTCCTTGGTGCACTGTTTGTTACTTCTACAATATAACTCATAATTAAAAATGGCACAAGACCAAATGGGACAGATTAAGACAATCCAGCATGGCCATGAAGGCTAGGTCTCTCGACTGATGTAAAAAATATATGAAACTTGGGCAAGAATACCAGAAAAGGTCTTCCATATAAAGGCTATCACAACTGAAAAGCCTCTCTGACCTATTAAGAAGTGGTGCCTGAGTTTGCTTTTTTCCTCCTCCCTCTCATCTCCTTTTCCTTTTATGTTGGACCTTTTAAGCCCAAGCACAGGGATTTGTCTTGTGTAACTGATTTGAAAGCAGAGACTTTTTTGTCCAAAGAGAGGTGGTGGTGCGTGCTTTAAAATAAGTAAATTATAACCACAGAAGGCAGGAGGACTCAGTTGATGAATATAAGGTTCACAGTCTCATATGGGAGAAGACTGTCCTTACATACCTGAGTGTCTCAGGTTTTAAAATGTGCGAAACCAGCACTTTTGAATTGTGCGCAGAAACAGACCAGCACCCACTGCAGCAATTTAAAAATATGTTTCTTGAAGCCCATTCCAGTTAGCGGCCAAACAGCTGCATTTGAACTAAGGGAATCAAAGAATTGTAGAGTTGGAAGGGACCCTGAGGGTCATCTAGCCCAACCGCCCGCGATGCAGGAATCTGAAGTCTCTGGACAGTCAAAGGCAGCTTTGTGTTTAATATATTGCAATCGTCTAATCTTGACGTTTTCATCCCCCAAAAAGTTTTTGATTTGAGTTTCCATTGAAATGAGGCTGTATTTTAATGTTGTACTGTATTTTAATCTTGTCTTTAAGTTGCATTTCAATCAATTTGTTTTTATATTGGGTGTTAGCCGCCCTGAGCCCGGTCTTTGCTGGGGAGGGCGGGGTATAAATAAAATTTATTTTTATTATTATTATAATCAATAGGTTGCCAGAACACAGATAAGTGCAGTCAACCTTTCTATCTACATCACATCCCACACTTAGGGCTCCAATGACAATGCCAGGTCTATCAGTGGACCAAGAATGAATGCAATTCTTTAGAAGCGCTATTCCCACTAGAACAGGTTAAATATCACCTCACCATTATGGTGGGGGAGGGTTCATTCGGAAGTCAGTCAGTGGGCAGTGCAATGTTGCTGGCCCTTTCTAGCCCTTGCTCAATTAAAAAAACCACATGTCCCTTGTGAAAACTACTGCTGCAAATCTGGCTTCTATGATTTCAAAACATGCATAGTATATAAGCAATGAATTACCCTGCAATATTTAGACAGGCCTGTGAGGCTTGTCTTCAGCACATCCTTCTCTACGCACCATTATTTTAAAAAAATTGGTGCCTCCTCCAATTGAGAAACAGTGCTAATGAATACCAGCTCCCACGTAGACTCGTAGTATCCAAAAAGCAAAGTAGAGCCTGATTTTTAACATGTTCACTGAACAGCTGTTTTGAGAATAACCTCCAAGGCAGTTCTAAAAGTTCAAAGGGGAGGGGGGACCCCAGTCTGTGCTGCTGCTACTCCACAAGAGGCAGACAACAGATGAGTTTCTACTTCACACACGTCTGAGGGGCTCTGTCTGTATTGGTGGAGTGGACATATTGAAGCAAATGCCAGGTCATGACAAATGAAATACCAGCCTTTAGTAGCTGAAGAGATTACTTTCCTCCTAACACCACCCAGCTCCAGATAAGCAAGAAGCACTGTCCAGGATCAGAAGAACTATGCTACAAGATCTACAGGCAGAGAAACATGGGCCTCGTGTTTTCCAGAAATCCTCCACCCCCATCAATGCATAGATATTCCATTTTTGAAATTCAGGGGAGATTCTGTAACATTTTACATAACAGCACAGGGTCCGTTGTTAGGGGAAAAGACTACGAGAGGCACTGTAGTGTTGCAGTTTTGAGTGCTGGACTAGGACCCTGGCCGACCAGGGATAGACTCCCCATTTAGCCATGAGGCTCACACCGTGACTTTGGGCTAGTCAGTTTCTAAGCCTAACCTACCTCACAGGGTTGTTGCGAGGATAAAATGGGGAGGGGGATAAGATGCGTGTACACCATCTGGAGCTCCTTGGAGAAATGCTAAGATATAAATGTAGTGGTAGTAGTAATAGTAATAACAGCAGCAGCAGCTGGATTACCCAAACTTACCCTCTTTGCCCTCCCCAGCACTTTCCTTTTGCTGCTACTGCTAGCTTCCTTTGGCTACCCCATTGATAAGACCCCCAGCCCCCTTGGCACTGCATTTAAGACAAGTTAAATAGCCACCTGTCATGGATACTTTAGTTGGAATTTCTGAATTGCAGGGGGTTGGACTAGAAGACCCTTGGGGTCCCTTCAAACTCTATGTTTCTAGGACTCTAAGTTTCTGGTCATTTGGAGGACAGCAGGACTAGCTTTTTGTTGCATGGGTTAGCTTTAGTGGGTGTGAGTGCGTGTGCATGCTAAGTTTGATTTTGCTCTGCGCTTACATATTAAGTCTAGATTTACAGTGGTACCTCGGGTTACAGATGCTTCAGGTTAAAGACGCTTCAGGTTACAGACTCCGCTAACCCAGAAATAATACCTCGGGTTAAGAACTTTGCTTCAGGCTGAGAACAGAAATCGTGCTCCGGCGGCACGGTGGCAGCGGGAAGCCCCATTAGCTAAAGCGGTGCTTCAGGTTAAGAACAGTTTCAGGTTAAGAACAGACCTCCAGAACGAATTAAGTACTTAACCCGGGGTACCACTGTATTTCTTTAATAAATCCTATTTGAATTTATTAAGATGTCCTGTAATAATTTTTCCCCTCCAAATGTCTTGTATTTTGACAGTCACTGTGGTTTTATTAATTAAGCAAGATTTATATACCACTTAATCAAAAATATCTATCTCAGTGGTTTGCATGATACTAACACTGTGAGTGGCTTTGGGCATTGTGGGAAATGACACCAAAAGTATCTTTTAAAAATCCCATCAGGTAAATGCAAACCCATGGACGCAACTAAGCTAAAGCAGCTCTTGGATCCTGGCCATGCTATTTGTTTGGATGGAGCAACAGCCTTTGATCTGGGAGACCTGCTTTCCATCCCCTTCTCTGTTGTAGACTCACTGTCTGTGACCACAAGGAAGTAACTGTGTGTGTTTTCACATCTAAAATGAGAATATCACAAATCTTTTATGAGGGTAAAGCAGAAAGTTACAAAGCCCTTTGTTGCAGATGCTCTATAAATAATAGTAGCCAGCAGATTCTCCTACAATCCAAGTGTCAGAAGAGTTCGTGAGAAATAAAGGCATACAAAGTTTCCTCCCAACAGACATTTATATAACAAAATTAAAAAATGATGTGGGCAGAAGAAAGAAGTTTGCCTGGGGCCTATGTGGTCTCTCACTAAGCATTCATAGCACCAGAACTCCCAGTAAGGAAGGACACAGACCCTGGACTTCTATGCAGACGTAACCATTTAACAGTTTAGCTGTTATCAATACTTGGGAAAAGTGCATCTGTTCTTTCTTTCTTTTGTGTGGGGAGTTACAGAGCAAGGGGCCTACACACAACAATCACACTTGCTTAGTCAAAGTAGGCCATTGTGCACAAAAATATTTTACTTTTCCAAGCAACAAGGTCCAGCACTCCTTGGCTCACGAACTAGTTTCAATAAAGTTTTGCAGCTCCACTGAAACTCTGAACGAAACAGACATCGCTGACACAAAATGAGCTTTCCAAGTAAGCCAGAGCTCTCAAAACTTAGCAGGCTACTGTTTTCACTTCAGTCTTGGAAATGCCTCCCTTTGCCCGTCATTCTTCGGCGCAGGGTCTTGCTCGTCCGCCCTGTACTTGGCTTCTGGGCTTTCTTCCTTGATCCTTGGCTGTGTCTGGTCTGCCGTCCTTTGGTCTTTTTCTGGCTACGGGAATGCAGTGTGGCCGTGAGTGAAGAAATCCTGTAACGGGGAGGAGAACAAATAAATGAATTCCAGAGGCAAACCAGTTCCCAGTCTTCATTTATAAACTGCTTCAGCCCCAGCTACATTTCCCACGCCCATTTCTTGCTTCTCCTTTGTCAGGGCACAGCTGCATGTTCTGTTTGGAAGGCATGTGGTGCATAACTATTGCTGAAGTTAGGCAGATCTGGCCCTGTATGCTACCTAGATGGGAGATCACCTGGGAGAAGGCATAGCTCAGCGGTATGAGCATACAGCTGGCATGTGGAGGGTCGTGGGTTCAAATCCTGGCATCTCCAGGGATCTCAGATAGCAGGTAAGACCCACGCTCAATACATGCTGCCAGTGTAGACTGTACAAGGACCAATTGGCCTGACTTGGTACATGGGGAGCGCCATATGCTCTGAATGCCATATTCTAGCCACTCCTTCTTGTAGAAAGAAGAGGGATAGCCAACGTGGTGCCCTCCAGTTGTTGTTGGAGCCCCAACCAACATAACCAATAAACAAAGGTGACAGGAATAGGCAGTCCAACAACATTAAACCTCATTGGATGTCTCCCTTCTCTCTGCAAACTGTCAGAGTCTCCCCCTGTACCAGGAATATTAATCAGTCCTCTTTTCTCTCCTTCAGACCCCCCTTTCCCCCCAACCTCAGTCTAGGCAACTCTGACCTGCATAACCAGAGGCCTATTGGACCAGGCCAAAGGCTCATCTAGTCTTGCATCCTGCTTCCCCACAGTGGCAGGCCAGCCAGATGCCTCTGGAAGACTACAAGCAGGGCAGGAGGGCAACCATCTTCTCTTGCTATTGCTTCCTGCTAACTGGTATCCAGACACATGCTGCGTCTGGTTCTGGAGGTGGTATAGAGGCGTAACTAACAGCCACTGATAGCCTTGTTCTCTGTGAATTGCTCTTATTGCATTTGAAAGCCATCTAAGTTGGTGGCCATCGCCACGTCTCGTGCAAGCCATTTCTGCAGGCTAACCCAAACTTTGCCAAGCTGGTCCTCTCAATATGTTTTGGACTGCAACTCCCATCAGCCCCAGCAGCATCTGATGTTATAGGACAGCAGCCCAGTCAACAGCCTGAGTCAAGAGGCCTGGCTAGATCCAGTCCTCCACCATGACAACCTCTTTTGTCGAGTGCTAATCCTAAGGAAACCCATTGCAATATGACAGCAAATGGACGCAGGAATGGAAAAGGTCTTCAGAGGCACCAAAACAAACACAAACAAACAAACAAACACCTTCGGGAGAAAGGCAAAACTCCCCAACAACAACACCCAGCCCCAATGAAGACTGAGCATGTTCAGTGGGCACAGAACATTGGCTGACTATTTTGGACAGGATGTGGGAGAGGGAGGAATATGAACCGGGCTTCCTGGAACCCTGAACTGGAGCTCTGCACGCAGCAAGACTTTTTTAAAATGCACTTGCTAATATACAGTATTTAAAAAGGATAGATTACAACACAAACGATGTCATTAATGGTGGAATAAAAACATTCTTATATGAACACGTGTGATGCAGATACCTGCTTGGACAACAATAGTTTTTTCCTTGCCTCCTAAAAATTTAGAAAGTGAGTGAATGGCGCTGAGACAAGGCAGAGAATGCCCTCTTGTGGTGCAGCATGGTTATCAACCCTTTTTGCTACATAATGGTATTTCAGCATTGAGCTCATGTTGCATTTAACAACACAGTAGCCACTGGTGACCAGGAATTCCATGCAGGTGAGTAAGTGGGATGGTTGAGGAGAGGCAAATCTCTCCATTCCTCCTCCAGCACTCTGTTTGGTTTCTGGGCTGGTTGCAGAGGAAGGCAAGACCGTCCATTTGCATTGTCCTCTCTGCACCACTGTTTGCTAGAAGGCTTTCCTTTCCTTTTTTCTTAACCAGGCTGTGAAAAGTTACAACCTTGCACTTCCACAGCGGCCCCAGAAGAAGGCATTTCTCCTCTGTGCCCACCAGCATGGAGGCAGTTTTGGATAACTAACAGTGCAAACCTAACCATTTCTACCCAGGAGTAAGTCGTATGTAGCTCAATGGGGCTCAAATCCAAGGTAAGTAGGATTGCAACGTAACTTATTTACAAGGCTGTCCTTAAGACTCAAGGTCCTTGGCACACCGCTGACATTCAAGACAGTTTGTTCACAGATCGGCTTGTGAGTGGGCGAAAAAGAGCAAGGGGGAGGGTCTCTTCCAACCCCAGAATTATCTCTCTGAGGGAGAACAAACCCCTATAGCCCTGCAGTTATGTAAGAGGAGTCCTGGTGGATGAGAATTAAAGCCCATATAGTCCAGCATCTGGTTCTCACAGAAGCAAACCAGATCCCTATGGGAAACCCATCAGCAAGGCATGAGTGCAATTAACTAGAATACAGAGGCATGGGGCTTCTGATACTGAGCTCACATCAGCCCCAACCAGCATAGCTAATGGTCAGGGATGAAATGAGTTGTGTTCCAGCAGCACTTGGGAGAGCCACAGATGTTCTGAACTTGGTTTTGAAGGTTAAAAGGTGAGGGTTAACCAATCATAACTACCTCTGAGACAGGAAAGGATCTCTAGATTTCTTAGGAAAGATGCACGCAGGTTTGCTTGAAGCATCTTCGTCTTTTTTTTCCATTCCAGCATCTTCTCCCTAAAAAATAAAATAAAAGAGGCATATGAGCCACATAGAAATCTAGGCACTGCTAGTGTAAACATATAGGAACCCAGGTCAATTTGACAAGTAACTTACTTACTAAGCTAGTTTCAAAATCAGCTACTGCATCAGACTTGTTTTCTTTTGTAGGGTAAATCAGAACTTGCAGCATGGGTGTAAAAACCTCTCACACATATTCATTAAGTGTGGTGGCTATCAGTGTGACCTTGGACCCAGGAAACCTCAGTTTAAATCAAGGATACCATGTGCAGTTATGCAAGCTCCCATCACCATCTCTAATACTGGCCTATCATACAGTGCTATTGTGAGTATTAATGAGATCTAGGATGTTAAATCCTTCAAATACACAGAGCACCGTATGTGACAGTCAGCATGGTGCAGGACCAGGGAGATCCAGGAACAGATCCTCACTCCATCATTTTATTCTAGCCTACAATAGAGAATGTGAAGCCATGTGTTTATATAAAGATCTATTTTTTTATTTTGAAAAAACAATTCTGATCAAAAGCAGATTTGACTGAACAGCACAGAGCTTGTGCTGGGCTTTGAAAAAGCAGCTTGTGGGAATCTGGCTGATACCAAAAGAGGCAAGGACTCAGCACAGAAAATGCTCCTCCCTCCAGCTGTTCACGTTTATCCCAAGTGACTAATGTTGAGGATTTCCCTTGTCAAGCACTGCAGGAGTTGCAAAGCATATGGCAAGAGACACTTATATTGAACTTCTCCAAGTACAGCTTTGGACAGAGACACAGTTCCTACTTAGCAATAGCATATTCTCTTGAGAAACGGTCGGCCCTGAAAAATGCTTAGATGGCTTTTCTATCTTACAAGACGTCTCATGAAATGAAACATTTTCAAACTTGGCTGGTTCAGAGATTCAGTCTTCAAAAACACACATTTTCTGTGAAGCTCCATGGAAATTAAGTCCAACTACAAGGTCCAAATTGAATGCATATTCTTCCACCCCCAATGCCTTCTCTATGCTGAATTTTAGGCAGCAGGCTCCTTGGGGCAGCAACCTTTTTTCGTGGCACACAGATGGGATTGTTAAAAAGTTAAGAGAGATGCCAGTCCTAAACTCCAGTAGTTAGTTAATCAACAAATATACACCTGTAGAAAAAAACAGAATTGGGATGAACATACAAGCTCGTAGAGAGGAATTACCTCGTTGGTGCTTAGTCCCACCAGACGTGCTCCTGAGAGGTCCAAGTCACTGATTGTAGTAACAGTGACTGTGTGGTTTGGGTGGTCATAGCTCACAGACTCCGTTTGGGATGTTACCAGTTGTTCCAGCTCATCAGCTTCCTCTGGGAACATTAAATAAGGAACCCAAAGAAATCACAAGTGTCAAAACAGTATCTTCAATGTAACGGATGGATAATTTAGGGCAGAATCTCTTCTGAGTTTGAACTTCTCAGACAAACTGCTACATATTCTGTTTCTTCATACACACAGGCGCTTGAGACTCCCAACTACTTTTTGTTGTAACTAGATTATTTCTGCCTCGGTTTTTAGAATTCTAATGAACTATACCAATACGCTCCAGGTGATTTGAACCACAAATCCCATCAGCCATTCAAGAGGGCTGATCTTTGCTAGGATTCCTGCAACGTCATACAATAACTATCCTTCTAAAGATGGAGGAGAGGGAAAGTCCATCAGTAACACATAACCAAAAAGATGCACAAAATGAACCGCTATCTCCACAGTCTTGACATTTGTAAATTCCCTTGTGACACATGTAAAAGGGGATTAATACATTAAATAACACACAGACCACTTTAACGGTTACACCTTCAGAAAGGACACGTACCCAAGGCTTCTTCTCTCTCTTTCAACATCTTCATGTATTCTTTGTGCCTCTAAAAACAAAGAAACGCCCCAAATAATTAGAATGCTTTCAGATAAACAGTGGCTTGGTCTCATCCGAGACATCGGCCAAAATCCCAGAAACCAGAACTTTCACACCTTCTCCTTTGGAGCCAAGTAGTAAGTCAGCAGCTATCTGGGGAAATTCCAGCATTTAGTTTCTCAGATAACAACACTGTGTCCATCAAGCCTGCAATCCCAGGGTTGTTGCTTTTTTTACTGTGGAGTAAACAAACACAACCTAGCAGTTCGAAAGCACGTCAAAGTGCAAGTAGATAAATAGGTACCACTCTGGTGGGAAGGTAAACGGCGTTTCCGTGGGCTGCTCTGGTTAGCCAGAAGCGGCTTAGTCATGCTGGCCACAGAACCCGGAAGCTGTACGCCGGCTCCCTCGGCCAATAAAGAGAGATGAGCACTGCAACCCCAGAGTCGGTCACGACTGGACCTAATGGTCAGGGGCCCCTTTACCTTTACCTTTAAACCAACACAGGTCTGGGCTGCATGTCTAGAATGAGATGATGAGTAGGAAAGACAGGGAGGAATAGGTTGTCAGGATAGTGAACAAGTGCAATTCTGCATACTCTTGTGTGGTGTTAAAGGGCACGAAGGGAAAATGGAAGGCAGGCTTCTGAGAAGTAGGACTGAAAGGAGACTCGAGGTTATGACCAAGTCAAAATAAAAGGAGAGCAAGCCTAGAAAGAGACCTTTGGAAGAGCCATGAGGATCAGGGTGTGATAAACAACAAGGGATGTAGCCCAGTTGCAGAGTATCTGCTTTACATGCTGATGTTCCCATGTGCAATCCTGGGCATCTTCAGATAAGGATGGGACAGAACCCTATTCTGAAACCCTCAAGAGCTGCTACCAGTCCCTGTAGACAATACGGACTTAACCGGACCAATAGTCTGGCTCAGTATAATGCAGCTCCCTAAATGATCTTTTGGGGGCCAAACCAGTCATTGTAGGAATCTCATGTTCCTTGAGAAATCCTGTCTGTCAGGCTATTCTGTTGGTCATAGGCTCCCAGCAGGGATAGGAAACCTGGGGCCCCCAAAACAATGCTGGACTCCAACTCCCATCAGGTCTGGCCATCAGTCAGGGATGATGGGAGTTGTAGCCTGGCAACATCTAGAGGGCCACAGATTTCTTGGCAAAAACCGTTTCTGACCAGGAGGAAACTCTAAGGAAACTCATTCAACAGTTCCTAGGCAACCATTGCTTCACTATAGCTTCACGAACCATGCAGTATTACTTAATACAGTGACACTTCATCAGAGAATTGGAAAAGCTGACAAAGGTCTGATATTTTATTGTGTTTGCTTTGACAATACATCCCTCCCCACCCAGAATATATACCTCTTCCTTCATCTTCTTTTGCTCATCTTTCAGTTTGCGTTTTATCTCCTCCACAGCCGCTTTCCTCCTCTCAACCTTACGCTTGTGGAACCCTGTCAAGTAATCCCTGGGAAGAGTAAATATACCAAAGAGCAAGTCAGAGACACTGGAAGAACAGCTACCCCCTAGCAGCTCAAAAGCCATCTTTCTCAATCACAATCACCTCATAAAGCCACAAACAGCACAAAACCATCAGCATCATGGGCTAAGCTCCCTTTATAGGGTCTGGCGCACACATGCAACAGAATACAGTGGTACCTCGGGTTACATACACTTCAGGTTACATACGCTTCAGGTTCCAGAATCCGCTAACCCAGAAATAGTACCTCGGGTTAAGAACTTTGCTTCAGGATGAGAACAGAAATCGTGCTCCGGTGGCACGGTGGCAGCGGGAGGCCCCATTAGCTAAAGTGGTGCTTCAGGTTAAGAACAGTTTCAGGTTAAGAACAGACCTCCGGAACGAATTAAGTACTTAACCTGAGATACCACTGTAAGGAGTTAGAATCTGGACAGGGATAGCCTAACTTCTGTTATCTATGCTCCAGTAACCTCTAGGTTAGATTACTGCAACACGTTATACGCAGGGCTGCCCCTGAAGGCAGGTGGGTATTCACAGGGACAAGACGGTTTGAGCATATTACACCGCTCCTGAGTCGACAGCACTGGCTGCCGATTAGTTTCCGGGCCCAATTCAAAGGGCTGGTTTTGACCTATACAGCTTTGGAACGACTCAGGACCACCTCTCCCCATATGGACTGACCTGGACCCTGCAATCATTGTATGCGGCCCTTCTTCGTATGCTTCTTCTCCAAGAGGTCTGGAGGGTGGCAACACAGGAGTGGGCCTTTTCTGCCGTGGCTCCCCATTTGGGGAACGCTCTCTCCAGGGAGGCTTGCCTGGCACATTCATTAAAAAACATTTAGGCGCCAGGCAAAAACATTCCTCTTCTCCCAGGCCTTTGGCTAATTACACAGCCTATGGCCTTTTAAACTGTATGAGAGGATTAGTGTTTTGTTTATTACTCTGGTATGCTTATGGTTTTATATTGTCCACTTTTATATTTATATTGTATACCTGAGCAGTATTGAAATTCAGTAAATACATAAAATAGGCAGAATGGACTTTATTATAAAACTCAGTCCAGCTATTTGCCGGTTATACACCTTTAGGCACCAGGCAAACACGTTGCTTTTTAACCAGGCCTTTGGTTGATCTTATTGACATCCAACACCCTTTTAGAATGTGGCTTGGGGGGGGAGGTTACTGCTTTTGGTTTGATTTTTATATGTTATGGTCTTGTTGTGAACTGCCCTGAGACCTCCGGGTATAGGACGGTATATAAGTTGAATAAATAATAATAAATAATAATTATACTTGTTTGCTTTGTGGGAATGCTGTGTGTGTGTACAGGGGTACGTTGGTTTCTCAAACGCTTTGGTAGTCAAACAACTTGGAACCCAAACACGGCAAACCTGGAAATAAGTGTTCCAAATTGTGAACATTTTTCGGAAGCCGAATGTGTTCCATTCTGAGTGCCACACTTCCGATTTGAGTGCTATGCTGAGGTCTGTTTTTGCTATTTGTTTTTGCAGCTTTTTTGTTTTGTTTTTGTGACTATGTGGAACCCAGATTGATTAATTGTGTAACTGCAGTACATTGTTTATTGCTTTCATTTTATGGATCAAGGGTCTCGTTAGTTAGCAAAATTCATGTTAAATTACTGCTTTAGATTCAGGTAGGCAGCCGTGTTGGTATGACACAGTCGAAATATATAAAAAATTAAAAAAATTATTCAGTAGCACCTTAGAGACCAACTAAGTTTGCTCTTGGTATAAGCTTTCGTGTGCATGCACGAAAGTTGGTCTCTAAGGTGCTACTGGATAGTTCTGCTGCTTTAGGGTTTGTTTTTAAAAGTCTGGAATGGATTAATCCATTTTGCATTACTTTTTATGGGAAAGCGCACCTTAGTTTTGGAACGCTTTGGTTTTGGAATGGATTTCTGGAACGTATTAAGTTTGAGACCCAAGGTACCACTGTCTATGTATGTGTTTCCCTCGCCCCGTCGAAGCACACTCCACTCCATCCCCGCCCCGCTGCACGTGTGAACTAGACCCTCGGATCGCGGTGCTCGCGCGGTATGCTTCCGAGGGTTTCGCAGCTGCCCTTCGGGCGCGAAACCCCGCTGCCTCCCGCGGCGAGAGGCACTTCTGGGTGGGAGACCGCGTGCAGGGAAGCCGCGCCCGTCGCCTCGCGCGGGGAGGGAGAAGCAACTGGCCGCCCGCTTCCCCTGCACTCACCGCCGGTTCTCCTCGTCGAAAGTCACGACCCTGCGAAGCGCCGCCGCGCGAGACTCCTGCTTCTGCTTCTTCTTGCGGCCCATGCTGGGCTCCGGCGACCAAGGCGCGCTTCTTCCGGGGCCGGGGCCTCGACGCCGCCTCTTCCGCCTGTGGGTCTTGCTGCTGGGCCCTCCCTCCACCGAGCACAACCGACTGGCGGCGCCCGGCTGCCTCTTCAGGAGGAGTGTCGCTTCCCAAGCCTTGCATTTAAAAAAAAAAAAAAGCAATGCAGACTGTGTGCACGCGACAGATTCGAATTACGTCCCCCTCTCCACCGCTTCAAAGAATTCTGGGCGCTGTAGTTTGACAGGACTCGATCGGTAGAGCAGCTTGAGACTCTTCATTTCAGGGTTATGGGTTTGAGCCTCATAGGTTGACTAAAAGATCCCTGCACAGCTGGGGGTTGGACTAGATGACCCCCGGGGGTCCCTTGCAACTCTACCATTCTAGGATTCTAAGGGGCAAACTATACAGTGTCCAGAATTGTCTTGAAGGGGGAAATGCACCGATAATCTGCTCAGTGCAGCTTAAAGGTAAAGGGACCCCTGACCATTAGGTCCAGTCGTGGCCGACTCTGGAGTTGCGGCGCTCATCTTGCTATATTGGCCAAGGGAGCCGGCATACAGCTTCCAGGTCATGTGGCCAGCATGATTAAGCTGCTTCTGGCGAACCAGAGCAGCACACGGAAACGCCGTTTACCTTCCCGCTGGAGCGGTACCTATTTATCTACTTGCACTTTGACGTGCTTTTGAACTGCTAGGTTGGCAGGAGCAGGGACTGAGCAACGGGAGCTCACCTCGTCATGGCGATTCGAACTGCTGACCTTCTGATTGGCAAGTCCTAGGCTCTGTGGTTTAACCCACAGCGCCACCTGCTTCCCACCAGTGCAGCTTGGTGGCGCCTTAAAAGACTAGCCCGGTTTATTGTTGCAAGAGGCAAGCCCTTCCCTCTGGAAATTGCTTCATGCATCTAACAGAGTGGATCTGTACGCCCTAACAAATTGGTTAGTTGAAGGTGCCCCCTTTCTTGTTTTTTTAAGACATGGCCGCTGACCTGGGAAAGGTTTTGGTTCTGTGGTTAACTGCAGTCCTGTGCATGTCTACTCAGAAGAAAGACCCATTGAGTTCAACAGGATGTACTTGTAAGTAACTGTGTATTGGACTGCAGCCTAAAAGGAATCATCAGCTACAATTGCCAACTACTGTATTGCTATGCATCTCCTCTCATTCAGTAAGATGTTTTCTGTTTCTATTATTATTATTATTAAAATTTGCATACCACCCTATACAAATCTCAGAGCAGTTTGCAACACAAAATTACAATACAAAAGGCACAAAATACATAATGAGAATAAGAACAAAAACCAATAATCCCCACTTTCACAACACATTTAAGTGGGCATCTATAGAGTCCAGTAAGGCCTCTATAGTCCAATCCCAAGTAAGGGTGCATAGGATTGCAGCCTAAGCTTTAAAAGGGGTTTGTATGCGTGCAATACTGTCAACTTAACATTTTTAGATTATAGTATTGCTGGTGGGAGATGAGAGTCCCAAAAACATCTCGGGGGCACCAGGTTGGCAAAGATTGCTGCAGGAAGACTTCTAGCCTTTGCCACTGCTTTGTTGTGTGGGCTTGGTCAAGCTACAATCTCTTGTCTCTTAGATAAGACCAATACCAGCTGCAAAGGGAGTGTTAGTGTAAGCTTAGGAGTGCTCTTAAGAATCTTTTTAACAAACAAGGGCATAGTAACGAATGTGGGTTGTGCTGCTTTTATCACTTTGCGTGCTGCTTGAGTTCCTTTTCTTGGGCTTGGCCTCTAGCCCTGTGAGATGTGGAAAAACCGGTTTTTATGTTTAATAGCTGTACTTCCCTTAATACCCACAGGCACAGCCTCCTTTGCCTCCGCTGCTGCTGCTGCCTCGCCTGCAGCTAACACCTCTGCCTGTGCTGCTTTCCCTTGCAAACATTTTCTTACCACTCCAGCTGCCTCACACAGAGGCAGCTGTGTCTCTGCCTCTCCCTCCTTTAAAAGAAAAGAAAAAAAAACCCTCAAAAAAGTTCTCTAAATCTACCTCTTGTGCAAGGTGGACGTGTGATCACAGGTACCAAGGAAGCAGATTTCCGCTCTGCCCCAGAGGGTTCCAAGGCATTCCAGAGATGATGGCTACAGAAGATGGCAGGAATGTGAACAGCCTCAAGGAAGTGTGGAGCAAAGAAGAGAATGCCTTGTGTGCAGATTGCGGGGAACCTGGTAAATCAATTTTGGAGGCTTCAGGGCAGAAGTGGAGGGCAGCTAGCAAATGTGATGGACGTCTGAAGCAGTCAAAGAAATGACCGTTCCTTGGAAGGAGTGGCGGGTTGTGGGGAATTAATGAAGGAGAAGCAGCGCTGGCACGTTTGGGCATTGTGTTTTTATCTAGCCTGGAGCTCCTCCAGATAACTTATGCCTTGCGCAAAGCTTCCATGGAGATTAGATTATATCTGGTATTTGGTGAGTGTTTGTTCTGATTTGTTTGCGGGTATGTTATGTGACAAGGAGCATTCATCCTAAAGTGTGCGCAGGGCATTCATATATATTTCCATTAATCATTCGTTCATTCCTTGCTGTTTTAAAAGTGAATTTGTTGTGCTAGGGCAGAGGTTGGGGACCTCAAGCCTGGGAGGCTGAATGTGGCCCTCTGTACCTCTCTGTTTAGCCCTTGCACCTTTCTTAGGCCACACCCATGGCTTCACCCCCTCAAGTGTTTCTGGCTGATTGGAAAGTGTTCTTGGATTCCAATAATGGTCCTTGGGTTGTTATTTTTACGAACCGCCATGTGACATGAAATCCCAGGGTGGGCCAAAACGAAGTGAAATATGGCATTTAGAAACAGTTTTGAACAATTTTCAGTCAGTGGGGCCTAAAATGTATGCCTCTCAAGGGTCAATGGGCTTGGTGAAGGGCTGCATCTTCAAAACCCTTGAAGAAAGCTTGACAATGAAGGTGACAGAAACATCTTTGTGGTGAGGGAATTCCACCACTTGGGGGCTGCTGCTAGCCTTGAGTTTGGGGCTGTCAAGATGGCGGATAGAGAGTGGACCTGTGCTCAGGTCCTGCTTGTGGGATTACCACAGGCATCTGGCTGGTCACTAAGAACAGGCTGATGAAGGGCCTTTGTCCTCATCCAGCAGGACTCCTCTTATATATTAGTCAAACAAGGCCTCTCAAGAAATTTGGGGTGGGTGGGTTTGAACCTGTTGAGTAAATAAATATAATACCCAGTCTCCAACCACTGATACACTTTTATTCCCCTTAGACCCTGACTGGGCCTCCTATACTTTGGGCGTCTTCCTCTGCTTAAATTGCTCAGGGATTCATCGCAACATCTCTGACATCAGCAAAGTCAAGTCACTAAGGATGGACCACTGGGATGAAGGTCAGGTGCAGGTGAGTCTTGTGTCCCCAAGAAGCTACTCACTCGATAATATATTTGCATAGGAGATGCAAACAATTCGCCCCTCTTTTCCCTCAAGAATGCTGGGAGTAAAGAGGGAAGGGAAGAAAAGAAAAGAAAAGAAAAGAGAGCACCAAGCTTCAGAAATGTAAGACTGGTAATCATGGAGGAGGAGAAAAGGTTGAGTTCTCCTGAGGTTGCTGTGTCAGGGAAGGAGGGGACCCCGGGGCCTTGTAGAGGTCAAATGTCACGGTGATGTGGCTGGTGCATAAGCGTGGAATAGGGAAGATAGGGATTTGTGTTAGATGAGGAGTCACTCAGGTGGCTTCTTCCTCTCCTCCCACCAAAGCCTGGATTGCTTTGTGAGTGTAGCAAAAGGGTTTGAATTGTTTGTCACAGATCTGAAACAGTGAGCTGGGGCATAGCCACAGATCTCATTAGCAGGGAGTTCAATAGTGGCAGGATTTTGTGATCAAGAACAAAGCTTGCCAACTGCCTGAAAGTGACTGGTCCATGCTCAAGAATGAAAACATTTGGGTACCAGTCTAATAGACATGCAATTTTATTATGTGTACTTGTTTTTAATTTTTGTTGATTTCATCTGTATTTTTGGATGAGCATTTTATATTGGGGTGCACATAAATCATACATTTTAAACACCCCCCAAATAATCATGCAAACTGCAGTTTTTTCAGGGTGCTGAGACTTGTAGCTTTGTGATGGGGTAAACTACAGTTCCCATGATTATTTTGGAGGGGGGTGTATGCTTTAAATGTGCTTTAAATCAGTGGTTCCCAAACTATTTCAGGCCACTGCCCTCTTGGTTCCATAAACTCATCCCCAGTGCCCCCTACCCTACAAAAAGCATCATTCAGAATAATGGTTTGCGTGACCCACTAAGGACGATAATAGAACAATAAAATTCAAAACAGTAACAGTTAATTCAAAATCCAATTGAAACAATTTAGTTTAACTAATTCAACAAAATTGATGAACTGGATCGAGTGATATCAGCTTTTGAAAGTCATTTAACAAGAGTCTTAGATACATTTAGTAACTATTTCACTGTTCAGCAAATTCTAAATGCGTTGGATGCGCTTGATGAAGTGATACCAGTGTCCCGGTGTCTGGTTTAAAGTCACGTAGCAAGAGTCTTAAGTCACCACCTTTAGTAATCTGGAGTCTGTTTCATTGCTTGGAGAGAAGTTGGATGACCACACTAAAACCATGTTCCACTAAATATGTTGTTGAAAATGCAACACGGAGCTTTTTGACCACTGTGCTTAGAAATTTCCTTCTGTAACCAAACCTCTGGGTACGATTTCTTAAGCTTTGGCTTCAGCTCAGTGCCATTTTGTAGCTCAGGGCTTGTCCACCTGTTAGATGACTGCTGTCCAAGTTGACCTGTGTGGGGTACAGGCTGGAGGGGTCAGTGGAGAATTCAGTCCTGCTGGCTGCAGGGGTCTCCTTTGTCAGTATGTTTCCCACTTGGAATACACTGGAAAAACTGCACCCAGCAGGCATGAACCCTGCCCATCCACGGATATCACCCAGTAACATCAGATGATTGACAGGTGGATGTGTTTTGGAGAAATTGCCTTGCAGGCCAACTTGGACCCTTCAGCAGCCCAAGACTGGCATTCAGCCTGGAGGTTTTCTCTTCCCCACCAACCCACTCTAGCGTCTAGTTGGAGGACAGCTTTGCAATGTGTAAAATGGCCCTGATTCCATTGATAACAGAATCCCAGAATGTGATTTCAGCCTAAGCTCCCCATTTCATCGTGTTCTGATTTTGGGAGACAATTAGCTGTACAGAGAATGGATATTGCGCAGAGTTGTAGGTGACAAGGCTTTTGAAAATTTATGGGGTGGTACGTAAAAGTAGGACTACCCAGGAGAGCATCTCTGTCAGCTTATCATGGCTAGCTGGGGCTGATGGGAGTTGGAGTCCAAAACATGTGGAGGGCACCAGGTTGAGGAAGGCTGGCTTACATGAAAAGGGTATGAGCATTAACTTGTGCATCTTCCCCTTTTTAGTTTTTGATGCAGCACGGGAATGCAGTGGCCAAGGCAACGTATGAGGCCCATGTTCCTATGTACTATTACCGCCCAGTCCACACTGATTGCCAGTAAGTGCCGAATCTCCATCTGGGAAGGGAGAAAGGGTTGTGCGTTGTGAGATTTCTCTTACCTGTCACCATATCATCTCTCTCGACTTCCCACAGAGTTCTGAGAGAGCAGTGGGTACGAGCCAAATACGAACGGAAAGAATTCACGGAGCCAGGAAAACATCCGCCATATTCCAATGGTAATCCTTCTACAGTGGAATCAATCCCTCTGAAAAGCTAGCAGCCTTGTGACCAGTGCCAGATTTACATATAAGCTAAACAAACTATAGCTTAGGGCCCCACTCTCTTGGGGGCCCCCAAAAAAATTAAAGGGGAAAAAACCTGTATGTACATTTTCAAAATATAAGATAAAAAACAAATAAAATAAAACCAATGTACACACAGCAACAATGTTTTGTGTTGTGTAGGCTCCTATGATGTACCGTAAATAACGGGCCCCGCCTGCTAGCCTGCTCCCTAAAATATCACTGGTTTGCTCATTTCTATATATTGGGTGCCTACATTCTGCATGGACTGGTTGCATGGCAATATGTGCAAATGACTTTAGATACCTATTTGGTCCATAAATTATCATATAGCATACATTCAACACATAAAAAGTGAAAATTTGTTGTTGACAAAGGACAGCTGGACATATAAAGGGCCCCATTACCTCCAGTAGCTTAGGGTCTCATCAAACCTAAATCCGGCCCTGCTTGTGACAGAAGAAGACAATTTGGCACATTGTTTTCCCTCCTTCAAACTCCCGGAGTGAGTCATGAAATGACATAATCAGGGCTGCTCACCAGAGGAAATGGTTTACCTGTGAAACAGGAAGAATTATAATTCAGTGCTTGTGGCCTGTATGTAGCAAAGGGTGTGAAAACAGAGTGGAAGACCATCTCTATGTGTGAATGCTTCCTCAGTGGGGGCAGGCAGAGCAGTTTTCACGTCCACCTTCCACCCTTTTAGAACTGAAGTACTTACAGCATGGCTGCTACTTTTTCTTATTGCAAAGCCTCCCCCCCCCAAAAAAAAAGACTTCAGAAATTCAACTATGCTTTTTCCAGCAGCGTTGGAGGAAAGTGCTACCTGCTGAATTGTTGCTGTCACACAGCTGTAAAAAGACACAAGGAATGGTCAGAGGAATAGTGGAAGCTAGAACTTAAGTAGCTAGTCCTTAAGAACGGCAGATCAAATAATTCCTCGGTCATCTCTCATCTAGGATGTCTCTCACCCTGACGGCATAGAGGAGAATGCACTGTGCTAAAATATGTAGACTTTTGGAGTAGAATGATGGAGGGGTTTGGTCTCTGTAGGTCAGTATGTATCTGCTGTACAGAAACCTCAGTGGTCAGTGCACAGGGGCCATAGCTCAGTGGCAGAGCCCCGCCCCCCTGCATGCAGAAGGCCCCAGGTTCAGTCCTCTTGAGATCTCCAATTAAAAGATGAGGGAGAAGGTGATAGGAAATACCTTTCTCTGACTGATACCCTGAAGGACTATTGCCAACCAAAACAGAGAATATTGGGCTAGATCAGGCTTCCTCAACCTTGGCCCTCCAGATGTTTTTGGCCTACAACTCCCATGATCCCTAGCTAGCAGGACCAGTGGTCAGGGATGATTGGAACTGTAGTCTCAAAACATCTGGAGGGCCGAGGTTGAGGAAGCCTGGGCTGGATGGACAAATAGCCTGGTATAATCTGTTTACAAATGCACTAGGTAATTGAGGTGCAGGAGCAACTACACAGACCTCTTCCGGACGGCCTTTTCATTATTTGCTTGCATAAAGCCTATGCAGAGGTTAGGGAGTGTCTGGTCTTTATTGAGTATTTGTTGTGATTTGCTTGCAAGGAGGTTATGCGGCTGAGCATTCATCCTCCCGTGCTTGCGTGGTGTTTTCGCTTTTTCCCCTTAATCATTTGTTCATTCCACACTTTTCAGTGCATTCCCCCATTGCTTTCCTAGCTGCAAAAAGTCTCAGTGTGTGTGTGTGTGTGTTTAAGTGGATTTTTTTGCACTAGGATGACAGGGCACTTTAATCCACTTCAGTTGCATGAACCTAAATTCCCAGTATATGCTGGAATTTCTCCCACAACATACTGGCAGTTTGTAGGCAACCCTGATACATGGCAGCTTCCTTTGTGTCTTGGGCTGTCTGATGTTTCCGTTCTGGCCAGTGCATGTAATCTCCAGCTTGCATTTTCCTCCTAGGATTGAAGGAAGGGATTCTGTGGAAGCGAGGCAGAGACAACGGGCAGTATCTTCCTCGCAGGTTTCTGCTGTCCGAGAGAGAGGGCTGTCTCAAGTATTTTGTCAAACAGGATGTGAGTAGCAATCTACTTGTGTAAGTGCATGGGCAACCTTTCCTACAGTCTTCAGAAGGATGCTTCAGAATTTCCTTTGCAGTACCGTAAGGAAACCGGAGTTGCCCTTGCATTGCCCCTGTCATCTCCCATCTCTTCACACTTTAAACTGTTAAGGGCCTGCCTGTTTTTATTTTTGCTTATGAAGCTCTGCAAGATCCCTTGTGCACTAGGGGTGTTGTATAAATACCAACATTCTTTTCTTTTCAGGCCAAAGAACCAAAAGTAGTTGTTAAAATTGACACTATCAATGCCACGTTCCAGCCAGAGAAGACAGGGAACCCAAATGGCCTGCAGATTACCTACCTGAAAGAGAACAAGACTCGCAACATCTTCCTTTATCATGAGGATGGGAAGGTACAGGGGCCGTGGCTAGCAGTGTGGTGTGGCACTCTGTAGGAAATGGTGGAGAAAGCCTGGATTTGACAGAGTCAGCGTCTTCTATCAGAAGATGGTCTAGATAAGGAGTGACACAGGTAGATCTCGGGGTGTTTCTGACTCAATAGCTTGACAACAGCAACAGCAAAATGACTTTATCCATCTAACTGGGCTGCTGAAATGAAGAAAGCTAAACAGGAGTGGTCTTCTGTGCGAAAGGCCTGTGAGCCTAGTTTCCGTTCTGGTGCCAAAAACATTCCTAGGCTCAGAAACGTGCTCAGAAGCAGCCTTTCTTCAATATCAGCTGCATGTGTTTTGCACCTGGCTCTGGCTGGTGGGTCTTAGGGGTTCTAGTAAAAAAACCAAGTAGACCCAAGAAGCCTGGGACTGCTCACACCTGGCATAAATTGTACTAGAGGTCAAAGTCCACCACTGAAGACAACCCAGATCCTTCTTGCTTCATGTCTGGGAATCTTTGGGTCCAAGGCAGACTCCCTTTCCTCATCTCTCACACTGTCAGAACAAGCATTGCCTGCAACAGCTGCAAATTAAATACAAGTCCTTAGCACTGCCAGTGAATATGGCCCTGGTAGGAAACCGTCGTGGGGCAGGATGTTGTTTGGATTATTATGAATTCTAGCTGTGGGAGATGTTCACTGATGCTGCCCAGGAACTTTCTTCAATTGGACTTTGGGTACCTCAGACACATGCTGCAAACTTACCAGGAAGAAAGTTCCATAGGCATAGGGGATTAGACAAATTCATGGAGGATAGGGCTATCAGTGTTTCCTTGTCACAATGGCTAAGTTCTGCCTACATTGTCGGAGGCAGTGTGCCTCTAAATACCAGCTGCTGGGGATCACAAGTGGAGAGAGTGCTGTTGCATTTACATTCTGCAGGTGGGCTTCCCGTGGGTTGGCCGCTATAAGAGCAGGATGCTGGTCTAGATTGGCTTTTAGCCTTGTCCAACAGGTTTCTTAGAAACCAACAAGATTTGCTTCTGAGTAGACCTGAGTAGACCTGAGGGACGCGGGTGGTGCTGTGGGTTAAACCACAGAGCCTAGGGCTTGCTGATCAGAAGGTCGGTGGTTCGAATCCCCATGACGGGGTGAGCTCCCGTTGCCCGGTCCCTGCTCCTGCCAACCTAGCAGTTCGAAAGCACATCAAAGTGCAAGTAGATAAATAGGTACCGCTCTGGCGGGAAGGTAAACGGCGTTTCCGTGCGCTGCTCTGGTTTGCCAGAAGCGGCTTAGTCATGCTCACCGCATGACCCGGAAGCTGTACACCAGCTCCCTCGGCCAATAAAGCAAGATGAGCGCCACAGCCCCAGAGTTGGTCACGACTGGACCTAATGGTCAGGGGTCCCTTTACCTTGACATACTTAGGGTCAAGCTTCCGGTTCATTGTTCTTTTGTGTGCCCTTCCTCTATCTAGGAAATTGTGGACTGGTTCAATGCGATCCGCGCAGTACAATTCCACTATTTGAAGGTGGCCTTTCCTGTTGCCAGTGATCAAGAGGTAAGGAAGTTATGGAACAAGATTGGGCTCCTTCAGGCAACCTGTTTATCCAACATTCATCCTGATTTTCTTGCACAAAGTTTGTGCAGAGAATAGATTATGGCTGGTCTTTTATTCATTTTGATTTCTTTGCAGGAAAGTTATGTGACAGCAGCATTCATCCTGATTGTCATGTCAGGTGTTTGTTTGGTGTTTACACATTGCCTTGTCAACCACTTGTTTATCCCACACTTTTCAGTGCATTCAATTTATTAGCTGCATTATCTTTTTAAAGTTGGCTTGATTTCTTTAAAAGTGGATCTCTTGTGCTGGGGCAACAGAGCACTTGAATCCACAAACCAAAATTTCTGGCATGTGCTTGCATTCCTTCTGCATAGCTTGCTTGCAAGGCTGCACTACAGACTAACTGGCTTCCTAGTGTCATTGCAAATCTAATTACATTCAGCTCTTTGGCCATCTTTGACTCAAAGTGAAATTGGGTAGAGTGTGTGTGTTTGGTTGGGCCAGCATTAGGCATTTTGGGGGGGGTGTCTGTGGAGCTGGCATGTTTGGGTTTGGCTGGACAGAACTAGTTGTTTTGATACCTTGGGTAAAAAGATGTTTCCCCCCTACCCTACCCTACCCTACCCTACCCCACCCTATTTCCAGTCTCAGTCTATCCAAACCTCTGATTATGCATAGTGTTTGAGTGTCTTCCCAGCCATTTCTGATAAGTCAAAAGCTGTCCTTCTGTTGCAGCTCAAAAGCCGTCTGACTCGGAATTTCCTGAAAGAAGGCTACATGGAGAAGACTGGGCCCAGGGTATATCAATTTATTTATTTATTTAGGTTTCTATATTTATTTTAAATCTCTGTTCATCTCAGAAGCTATTGCGAGGTGCCAATATGTTTTGTTGTTGTGTTTTTTTTAAAAAATCCCCTGCCCAAGGTTTAGCCAAGAGTAAACTATCAGCAAAATGAAAACAGCAAGAATGCATCTTGCGAGATTAAGGTTGAGGCAGTCACACTGCTCCACTTCCAGTCAGTACATATCCCATAATGTTTTATACCACAAGCGTTCTGGTATATTTTTGTCCTGCTTTGGTATCCTCTAACACCCTCCCCCCCCCCCACTCCCCAGACAGCTTTAATGTGGTAGCACTGGGGAAGCACTGTAGAACAAATTAAAGTAGGGAAAAAATCCACTACAGTGGTACCTCGGGTTACATACGCTTCAGGTTATATATGCTTCAGGTTACAGACGCTTCAGGTTACAGACTCTGCTAACCCAGAAATAGTACCTTGGGTTAAGAACTTTGCTTCAGCATGAGAACAGAAATCATGCTCCGGCAGCAGCAGGAGGCCCCATTAGCTAAAGTGGTACCTCAGGTTAAGAACAGTTTCAGGTTAAGAACGGACCTCTGGAACGAATTAAGTACTTAACCCGAGGTACCACTGTACTAATGCATTGTTATTGTGTTAAGAACTTGTTGTGGAATACCTGCAACAAACAACAGTCTGGGTGGGCCCTCTTAACTCTGTGCTACTAGGACAGATGTGATATAAGAATTGAATGCACTTCTAAAGCCACTATCGAAGATTGACCAGGAGAGGGCTCCCTCCTCTTGTAAACATCTCTGGTTCTTCTGCAGCAAAAGGAGTCTTTCAAGAAGCGCTGGTTCACTCTGGACCACCGAAGGCTGATGTACTTCAAGGATCCTATGGTAAGCCAGCAACTGGATTGCCCCTTATCCCCTCCCACCTTGCTCTGCTCTCAGTTCTTTACTATCTTACGCTGTCTTCCAGCAGATGAATAGCCGTCTTGTGTTGCTTGAAACAGGAGCAGGGTTGCTGCCTATCAAACCGGCTCCTGTCGCCATGCTGATTTAGGAACCTAAAGTTTTAGTGCTTGCTTTCTGCCCGTCAGACTTTCGTTAAAGCTGGGTTTCCTCCCTCTCTGACCAGTGGCAAGCTCAAAACAGGTGCAAAGAGACAGCTCCTGAAACCTTGAACCATGGGACTTGTTCCCCACAGGATGGCCCCCAACTTGGACGGCTTTAAGAGAGGGTGGGAGAAATTCACGGAGCAGATGGCGATTGGTGGCTACTAGCCATGATGGCTGTCCTCTGCATCCATGGTTGGAGGCAGTAATGCCTCTGAATATCAGCTGCTGGAAACCACAGGGCATGAGAGAGTGGTCTTGTGTTCAAGTCCTGTTTGCAGGCTTGGCACTTGGCTGGCCATTGTGAAAACGACACTGGAATAGATGAGCCATTGGCAGGAACGGGGAACCACGTTTCCTTGGACTGTAGGCCCCATCACTCCTGACCGCTGGCCATGCTGGCTGGGGCTGATGGGACTTGGAGCCCAACAGCATGTCAGGCCATCTGTCAGAGATGCTTTATTTGAGATCCCTGCATCGCAGGGACTTGGACGAGATGATCCTTGCGGTCCCTTCCAACGTCATAATTCTACGATTCTATGATTACCTTCTAGAGGCCTATAGGTTTCTTATTCCTGTTATGGAGGGAAGAGTGATGGAAAATGTCCACTCCCCCAGGCTGCTGCTTCAACTGTCTGAGCTGCTTCTGCTCCTTCTAACATTAAAGGGTGGGGTTTAAGATTCTGGCACATCATCAAGCTTTACTCCTTCCCCATTGTGCCGCTACACACCCTGGGAAACTGTTTCGATGACCCCTTCAGAGTTTTCTTTTCCCCTCCAAATCTTTTTTTTTTAAGTTTTACATTGCAAATTTAAATTCAAACATTAAACACCAACACCATCATTTAGGATTCCCTGCATTCTTTGACTCCCCTCCACCCTTCCATGGTTACCACTATTAATCTTTTTTCAACTGCTTCTCTTATTTTTTCTATTTTTCTTAAATAATCCATTTTTACCATAATTTTTAGTACATTACAAGCATCCCTCAAATCCTGCCAAAGTTTTTAGTTGTTTACAGTGTTCTCTTAAATACATTGTAAATTTTCCCCATTCCTTCTTAAAGTTCTTCTCTTCCTGGTTTCTGATTTTCCCAGTCAATTTCGCCATTTCAGCATAGTCCATCATCTTCATCAACCATTCGTCTCTGGTCAGGACTTTGTCTTCTTTTCATCTCTGGGCCAGTAGTATCCACGCTGCTGTCATTGCATACATAAATAATCGTTTCTGCTCCTTTGGTATATCTGCACCTAAAATTCCTAATAAAAAGGCCTCTGGTTGACGACCCCATCAGAGTTTTCATTCTGGTCCAGTGTGGGCTCTAACATGGACCGGAATCCCAAGGCACGTCTCCCATTTCTCTCCTACCTTGCAGGATGCTTTTGCGAAAGGTGAGGTGTTCATAGGAAGTGATGGGCATGGATATGGTGTCCGGCAAGGGCTGCCAACTGGCACGCAGGGCACCTTCACGTGGCCGTATGGCATCACCATTATCACACCTGACCGGGAATACCTCTTCACCTGTGAGACTGAAAGGGAGCAGCAAGAGTGGATTGCAGCCTTCAGGCACGTTATAGAGCAGCCCATGACACCCCAGGAATATGCAAGTAAGTGTCAGAAAGACTTTCTTCTTGGGCACTTGAGTCTTATATATAATTTTTCTAATTTACATTTCAAAATATTCATTTAAACAACCTTAAATCAATGACTTCCCTTCTTCACTTTCCGTGGTCCATTTTGCATACCATACATCCCTGCATGTTTTACATGAACTAAACCATTCTGTAATCCATTGTTACATCCATCAAAACTTATTTACACTGTTGAATTTATCTTAATGCTACCAGCGTTTTTAAATGAACAGAATTTTCACCCATATATTCAGTAAACATTTTCCAGTACATTTAAATGTACATTCTTCTTGTTCTCTTATTCTATATGTTATATCTGCAAGCTGCGCTTATACCATCAGTTTAAGTTGCCATTCTTCTTTAGTTGGGACTTTGCTCATTTTCCATTTCTGGGCTAACAAAACACGGGCCGCAGTAGTAGCATACATAAATAGTCTTTTTTGACACCTGGGAATTTCCCTCTGAATTATCCCCAACAGAAAGGACTCTGGTTTTTTTGTTTTTTTTTGGAAAGGTACTTTTAAACAATTTTTTCAATTCATTATATATCATTTCCCAATACCCTTTTACCCTTTTACAAGTCCACTACATATGATAGCATATCACACCACAACACTTTCTCCTTCCCACCTCCAGAAAACACATGTACATGTTCAGGAGGCTCAGATGAACAACTTTCATACATGCTCACATACATTGCAGCATTTTTGCTCTTAAAGCAGCACAGGGGAGCGGGGGTCTCCTACGCCAGCACTGGCCTGGAGAAGCAAAAATTCATCTTCCCTGCCTCTCTGTCTTCTTCTTTTCTTTACCTGTTGCAGCTAACTCTTCTTTTTACAGTGAGTGTGCTGCTGCATTTGGAGCAAACAGTTGTTCCCATTCTCTCCAGTGCTCAAACTGCCCCACACCTGTTTGCTTTGCTTCCAGCAGTGCCTCGACTGTAAAAAGATTTTTTTTAAAAAGACACTGGAGACTGCCAACTATTGTGGGGACATTGTTTTAGGAAACCCGGAGGCTGCAGGGCCTCTGACCTGTGCCCCAGAATCTGGTCTTGTTGGTGCTTCTGTGGCTGACCTCTGGAAACCCCACCCTGACTTCTGTGATTTTACCAGGCACTGTCCACATCCTTGAAAACTTGTCTCTGCATCCTTGAGAACTAGAAACTTAAATTATGAGATAAAACAAAAGCTGCATTCCGTGTGCCCAACACTAAATTCTGTTTGAGAATATATGTAATTGCAGAACTCATCCATCCCTGCTCTGATGCCTCCTCTGTTTTCCTACAGTTGAAGCTTATTTCAAGCTGAAGCCCTAACATCTTTGAAGGAGAGAGACTTGCTGCTTTTCTACTTGTTGGTCTGCCCTCTTGTGAAACACAGAGTTAAAGAAGGCACCCTTTCTCAAAGAAGCTGCTATGCTATATTCCAGTGCCTCGTGGTTGGGATCCATTTGGACAGCAGAGCTTTCTGCCATTTTGATCAGCGACGGATCCAGACGGAAAGCGCAGGAGCTGATCAACCGAGGCATTATTTGTCCTGTCCCACCATAGGCCTGGCAGACTTGCTTTCTCTTGGTCACACTATATGCAGGGGCCCTCCTCCGTGGCTTACTACTGCTTACTGCTGGTTGGCTGCTGTCTATTCAAGGCTTCAACAGGAAGATAGAAAAAAAATCACTTATCAAAACAGCTGTGTGTATATGTACCAAACTGATGAGTATTTTATTTTGCTCCTGTTTCTGCTGCTGCCCCATGTCTCTTACTCTCTGATTATTCTGATGTCCTGGCTGCCAGGTTTCCCCACTTTGCTATCTATTCAAAACCATGATAAACCTGTTATCTTTCTCTTGACTTCAAGTTCCCGGCAGCCTGCAGTAGTGCTTGTCTTTTGAGTTCATATTGTTGCCTCCAGTAGAAAAACGAGGACTGTCCTGAGTGCCGAGACTGTTCTGGGTGGTCCAGTCATGCATGCCTCCCTATCAAAACTGATCAAGAAAACACACACACACACAGTTGCATTCATGTTCATTTTTCCATTGATGTCAATGGGCAACCCAGCCACTCCACTGCCTGTAACTTCTGTGTTTTCTATTCAAATGTAATGAAATTTCAAGGTGTTCTACTTATCTTCCCAAAGCATCGGACCAGCCAAATAATTTCAGGAAGATTGGTCAAAGGGTATCAGTTTTATAAGGCATTGAAAATATCATTGCATATGCTCCAAGGTACTCCTAATTTTCAATGGAGAACCAACTACCTATTCCTCTGCTTGTAACTTGGCATGATAATTTTGGTGTGCCTTTTTAATAGACCCCATTTTATACCTGACAGATGCATTGATCTCTCTGCCTCTTGTCCTCTCCACATCAACTTTCTATGACCTGTATAGGCTGCTCCTGACTGTTTCTGTTTCTTCATCCCAGCGGAAATGAGTGAAAAATAATCAAATGAAAGATTTTGTTGTTGTTGTTCAGAACTCTTCAATTTGAATTCACATATGTTATCCTAACTGAAACGAATGAAACTAATGGGGCTTGTTCCTTTCATTTTCCATTCATTTTCCGCAATGAATGTGGAGATAGCTATAACAACACAACTTGCTCTTCTTTATAGACAAGCTCTTGAGGATTCTTGCCAGCCTGCTTGACGTTCTTCTCTGATCCAGTGGGCTTCTCCTTATATCAATTAGCCCTCTCTGCCAGATGAAGAACTCGAATTCAGGTTTCTCTGCCCAATTATTTAATGTAGGCAGAGGAAAGGCAAGGGTTAAAAGTCCATCAGGCATAGGAGCCAACTCCTAGGGGGTGAGGTCTCTTTGCCCCCCCAACAAAAGATATGAGGGGGCTATCCTCCCCCCCCAAGTTGATGGGCATTGCCATTCAAATAGTGTGTGTGCGCTGTGTCATGTGATTGATTATCACATGACAGGTCAAATGCGTGGCAAAGTATGAGCTGAGACATTGATCCAACAAGCAACACTCTTCCTCCCGCTCCTTAGCCCACCTGAACCTTCTCCAGGCTACCTGCTCCCCTGACACTGCTCTGTCTCAGACATTTTGCCTCCCTCACCCTGTTCAGACCCTCCGCCAGGTATTCCAGCTCCCTGATCTCTCCCCTCTTCAGGATTAAACTGTCCCTCCTGTGACATCCCTGCAGGACTGATGACAGTGGGGAGGGCAGCTTTGCAAATTTTCTCAAGTTCATGTTTGTATTTGGAACCAGGCATTATCCCAGAAGCAGAGGCAGATTTATGGGAGCACATCCGGTTTGCCTAAATTGAGCTCCGAGCCGAGAGGGCGTCACAGGGAGTTCTGCAATAATGACGAGCGATGGAAGGCAGGAGGGGGCACCAAATTTTGGCATTGCACTGGGCACCACTGAAATCTGCACTGCCAGAAGTGGGGGATAGATTTTTTTTCTGTTTCATGAAATGCCTTGCAGAAAATGACTAGAGATGTATCAGGTTGCATGTGAGCAAGGATGTTGTGTGTGTGTGTTTTGGGTTCAAGAAGATGAGTTCTGAGTGGCTCAGTAGGAATGCTGGAAATGTTTGTAGGAGTATTATTTTGTTAAACTGACTCCAGAAAGAGCACTGAAACAATCGGTTACGCTGCCAAACCCTTTGCAGTCATGCTTTCCTCTCAGCCGATCAAGCTGGGCTGATGGAATGGCTCATCTAGCACCAAATTGCCAAGGCAGCTGTTTGCAGCTGGATTTTCCCCTAACTGCGTTTGTGGAGCTTAAGAGGAGGGAAAATGGCTGGCTAGAGAATTCCACTTAGTGCTATCTGAGATCCCTGGCATTAGCATTACTGCTGACTACATGGCATAAACTAAGGGTATTGTTCCAAGCCATGACATGCAAGCAAAAACCTCGCTGCAAGCGTGTGCATGCCTCCTTACACGTTACTGGTAAGCAACGGCCAACAGGATAGAGTTTTGTCATTTTTATGCTGTGGGCCAGGGATTGGGAACCTCAGGTCCAGGAAACAAATGCAAACTTCCAGGCCTCTCAAGTCTGGTCACCTCAGAAGGATCCCTTGGCCACTCCCTGCACTGGCCTCCCTCCACAACCTGAAAGTTTTTGTCTGACCGGAATGTGCCCTTGGACTCTGACAATGCCACTAGCCTATCTGGACAGAGGATGGAGAAGGGTTTGTGTTAAACTATCCTAGGGGTCAAAAATGAAATGTACATTCATTGGGCCACCCACTTTTGCTTCTGGCCTTGCCTGCCACTATTATGTGGTCCTTGGACAGTGGTCAAAAAGGGCTAAGATAGGTTCCCCACCCCTGCTGCGTGCCTGTTGCGTAGAATTGAGAAATGTCCTGATTTTGATCATGATAGGGAAATTGCTATAATGTTTTAAATTTAAGGAAATGTTTTAAATTTAAGGAAATATCAGGGCAAGGAAATATCCAGAATGTTTAAAACAACACTACAAGCAAGCAGCTGTGTTGGTCCTTCATTAATAATAAAAAGTAACAATAACATTTGAGGACCTATTAATGTTGTAAACAACTTTTATAAAGCTGTGTATGTGCTTAATCTTTAAAGCCCATTTGAAATTCTTACTCCAAAGAGTTCTAGGCACTGTAGTTTGTTAAGGGTTGTTCAGAATTGTAATTCTGTGATCCTAAAAGTAAAATTAAAAATGAGATGCTGTCCTTTGGGTTTTTGACTGCCAGGCTTAGTTGACTTGATACATGTTAAATGCAACTGGCTGTGCACCATTCATGCGCCATCCTGCTATGATGACATCTTTGTGTGTTGTTTCTACTGCAACAGGCAGATATTTGCACTGAATACAGCTACCCCTCTGCAGCATGTTCATTGCTCTGCTTCCCAAAAATATTTTCAAAAGGAACTTATCTCAGAGAATTGTTCTCTTTCCCAGTCCTTATTTGATCCAGTTCCTTAACCACATCTGTATTAATTCAGGACCTTCCATTCCTCTCTTTACAGAGTTGAGGGCAGAGAAAGGAAGCAAGCAAAGGCAAGGTTAAAAATAAAAACCCCAGACAGAAATGGGAATGTTGAAGAGAAAAGAATTCTGCAATCTGCTGGGTGGTCGCACTACAGTGCCATTAGCTATTGCTGAGTGTGTTTGCACTTGAGTGTGAAGCCATGAGTCAGAGATGCTCCGCCACTCGGCGGCGAATGATGTTTTTGAGGGGGGCTGCCGTTGGGAAAGCACAACTGCCCTGCATCTCTTGTTGGGGAGAAGAAGACGAGGAAGAAAGCATCTTGGCTGCCGTGGGGCTAGTTTTATTTGTGTCAACAAATGCTTGATGACAGAAGTCGCGGAGGGCCGGCTGGAGAGAGTATGAGAACTCTGCAGCAACAGAAAGCAGCAAGAGGATGCCATGCCGTCATATCTGTAAGCTTGGAACGGATGTGCCTTCAAGAATGGTAAGATGAGCATGGGATGCAATGAGGACAGCCATCCCAATAGCCTACATAATTCCCTATGAGGCCCACACCTAAGTGATTTTAGTTTCTTCCCATCATCCTTTGCCTCCCTGCCAAGCCAAGGCAGTCAAACACACACTGTGTGTGGTTGGTCGTTCCTCTTAGAACCAGAGTGCCTCAGCTATCCAATGACGATGGAGCTCATTGAAGAAGCTTCGCTGGGCAATTTCTCCTATGACGCTGAGCGTGGAGAAGAAAGTCCTGTCACCAGGGCCTTGGGCACAGTCCTCCTCCTCATGTGTCTCTTTGGGACGATGGGCAATATCTATACGCTGGTGGTAGCATTTGGTGGCATGTCTGTTCGCTCGGCGGGTTCTTTGCGCATCTACGTGGTCAACCTGGCCTTAGCTGATCTGCTCTACCTTTCCACCATCCCCTTTGTGGTGTGCACATATTTCGCCCAGGACTGGTTCTTTGGGGACGTGGGCTGCCGGTTTCTGCTCAGCTTGGACCTGCTGACAATGCACGCCAGCATATTCCTGCTGACGGCCATGAGCGTGGAGCGTTATTGGGCCGTGACCAGACCGCTAAGGGCCAGGCAGGCTGGGAACAGCTACCGCAGGCTTGCTTGCGTTGCCGTGTGGCTCGTCTCGTCTTTGCTTACGGTGCCCATGATGGTCATGATCCAGCAGCGGGAGGGCAGGAGCGGAAAGCTCATCTGCTTCCCCACGTGGACGCCTGGCGCTTTCCAAGTGTACCTCACGGTTTTGTTTGGCACGAGCATCCTTGGGCCTGGTTTGGTCCTGGGGGTCGTGTACTCCCGGCTTGTGCAGGCCTATTGGGCTTCCACAAAAGTCATGTGGTCGCCTGTGGCGAGCAGGGCCCTGAAGCAGAAGCTGTTTCCCAGGATCTTCAGCATCATCGTCGCCTACTGGGCCTGTTTCGTACCATTCTGGGCCTGGCAACTCACCAAGCTGTACTGGCCAGAGGACTTGGAGATTGGGCCGACCGCCCAGGCTTACCTCAACTTTGGCGTTACCTGCTTGACCTATGGCAACAGCTGCGTCAACCCTTTCCTGTATACCTTGCTCACCAGGAATTACCGCGAGTACATGGCTGCTCAGGGCGGAGAAAGGCCACGTAGGAGGCATGCTTTCTTCAAGAAGAAAACGCATGAAATGCCCCAAGCAGAACATGTGTCTGTGGCAGAGGGAGGAGGGCTTGGATAAAGGAGGCAAAGGGTGGTTACCAATAATCTACCCCAAGGATGCCTTTTCCTCTGCCTGCACAGCTGGGCTTAGCCTTGGAGAGCAGCAGCAGCAGCAGCAAGATGGGGAACAGTGACTGCAGACTTCGCTCTGGGAACCTGCATGTTTGCTTGTTCACACTAAACCGTTGTTTGGCTTAGTGTTGTGTTGTAACTGCGCCATAGTGTATACCAGAGGTAGGAAACCTCTGTCCCATGGGGCAGATTTGGCACACCAGGCCATTTCCTCCAAACCACACTGACCCAACCTATAGCTGCTGTTTGGCCTGGCTTCTAATTTTTCTATGCAATTCTGTTTAACCTTCTTCTTTTCTGCAGATCAGTTTTCCCTAATGTACAGTTTTGTGTGTTATTTTTACTAATACAGTGGTACCTCGGGTTAAGTACTTAATTCGTTCCGGAGGTCTGTTCTTAACTTGAAACTGTTCTTAACCTGAGGTACCACTTTAGCTAATGGGGCCTCCCACTGCCACCGCACCACCGCCGTGCGATTTCTGTTCTCATCCTGAAGCAAAGTTCTTAACCCAAGGTACTATTTCTGGGTTAGCGGAGTCTGTAACCTGAAGCGTATGTAACCCGAGGTACCACTGTATATGTATTTTTATGCACACTTTACCCGAGTACATACATTATGGCTGGAGAAGTGCCTTGCAAGATTTGAAGCAGTGTAAATTTCCAAGGTTGGCTGTGTCTCGATGTTTGTGTTGTTTCAGAAATTTCAAATTGGGTAGGTTTGCCTTTAAATGTGAACTGAACTGAATTTCTCCCCATTCCTACCTGTAGCTCCCAATCGAGACAGTGAATGCCATTTGGAAGTCTTTGCGTTGCAGCTGTCCTGTAATAAGTACAGCCAGATCCGTAGCTGCAGTAATCACATATCCTTCCCCTGTTGGCTCCTGTTTTCATTTCTCTCTCCTTCATCTGTTGCCTTCCTTGTGTTGACAGCTAGACTGTAAGCCCTTTGAGGGCAGGGACCTCTCCTTTGATTCTTCAGTTAATTTATACGGAGGATGCTTTAATAATAGTAGCAACAAACATTCTGTTCTACACCCCACCCCCAAATAAGCATGTATTGTGATCCATTTGCTAATACAAGCAGCTTTAGTAGGCAGTGTAGGACAAATTATTGAGGACTAAATGAATGCAGCATACAGGAGGCAGAAAAGAGATTTCAGCAACAATGTTAAGTGAGAGTGCGGAGGAAGGAGTCCAGTGATGATCTTTGGTGCAAGAATAGATGTTTCAAATACACAAATGTCTCTAGTTTCATCTGTAAAATATTGGCACGGCATGAGACCAGCTTAGCAGCAGCCGGAGAAAGAATGTCTTATGTGGCTGTAACATACCTCATAGCACGAGAACTTCAGAAGGCAGGAAAATATGTGGAGAGAGAGGGGTTGGGAGGTCACACTTTCCTGTGACTAACGGAGTAGTCTGTAGAATATAACAAGGCCTTTAAAAAGTTGGTACGTAGTTGATCCACAGCAAGTTGAGTTTTTTCTACTGCACACATATAAGTGCTTGTGGCACCAGATCAATCTACATACAGGAGTTAATAAGTTTTTAGCGCTTTATAAACATTAAGAATAGTCATCGGTAAAATCCTGCTGAATGAAGAAAAGCAGAATCCTTTGCAACTCTCAGCTGCAGACTGTTACTGTTTTGTGAGAGGGACTCAATAATTTGTAGGTTCCTGAAATCAGAATGGATTAAAGAGGTCTGCCACTCTGGTGCAACAAGGCCAGCTTTTTAAAATAAAATAAAAACCCTGACTTTTTGTGGTTTGGCAAGCAACACCCCTGCTGTAACGGTTGTGCAGAGGATGTGGTTTTGTCTGGCATGCCTTTTCTAAGCTCAGCAGCATAGTGGCAGGGCAAGCACCACCAGCCACATTCCCCTCCAAAATGATTCTGCTTGCCCTTGAGATCTGTGGAGGAGGTCTGTGTGGTGCATATGGGCAGGGCCTTTTCTGTCATGGCGCCCAGACTTCCCTCCCTCAGGGTGCCTGTGTAGCAGAAGAAGAAGAAGAAGAAGAAGTTTGGATTTGATACCCCGCTTTATCACTAGCCTAAGGAGTCTCAAAGCGGCTAACATTCTCCTTTCCCTTCCTCCCCCACAGCAAACACTCTATGAGGTGAGTGAGGCTGAGAGACTTCAGAGAAGTGTGACTGGTCCAAGGTCACCCAGCAGCTGCATGTGGAGGAGCAGGGAAGCGAACCCGGTTCCCCAGATTACGAGTCCACTGCTCTTAACTACTGCACCAAAGACTGCATTGTCTGCAGTCATTTGCGTATTCTGAGGCTGCAAACATCCTATACATTTAAAACACACAAGTTCCCCATGGAACTTTGCTCAGCGTGCTGGGAATTGTAGTTTTGCAAGGGGTAAACTCCAGTTCCAGGATTTGTTGGGGGAAGTCATGTGCTTTAAGTGTATGGTGTGTATGATGAATTCAGCAATGCAGTGGGGAATTCAAGAGTGTAGAGTCCCTTCATGACAGCCACGCCCTATGACAGCCACACCCCTTCCAAGATTATACAATAATCTTAAAACAATACATTAATAACAATTAGGGATGTTTTGCAATGATCAATGGTCTATCTCAATATGTTGCCTTTCAATTGCATCTACTATTTTCTGTGTGCTTGTATCAGCAAATGATTCGGAATGCTCTGTCTCCTTTTGGAGTGACTTAAGTTGCATCTCCCTTGACATTCCATTGTGCATAACAGAACCTGCACACCATTCAAGAACCCGTGTTTTCGGTGTTCCTAAATGCTTAGCTTTGGAGCATACAGACAACTTCTCCCTGGTGATCTTCCCTAGGAGCCAGTCCTCCATGGCTGACTCACCTCCTTTCACTCTGGCTGACTCTTAAGCATCACAAAAGCTAAGAAGTTCCCTTTTCAAGCTGATTGTGTAGTTCTAGGATGCTGGAGACATGGTCCCTTCTGCAGAAATAGTAAAGGGTCTCTGATACACACCCCACGACCCCAGATCACTACACATCTGAATGAATTTGACTGGGCTTTACTCCTCACTTTATTTCCAAAAGGGTCCGTGCTGTGCTTTTTATTATGTTTTTCTTGAGGCTTTTATAGTGTTCTAAAATACAATTGCATGCCACTTCAGGAAACCTCTCCTTAAAAAGCATGCTTATATATATATGTATATGTAAAATAAACTAACTATTCAAGGGATTGTCTCCCACCAACGCATTCTCAGCTGATCCACTGACATTAATAGACGTAAGATAGTCATTAACTCCAATGGATCTACTCAGAGTATGACTACCATTAGCTACAGCCCAAGGTAATTAAAAGCACTATCTGCTCTTGCACTTGATGACCCCATCAAGTGTATTTGTGTGTTGTGCATTTGTGGGTTGTGCACACCTAGGATGCAGCAACGGTGCCTAAAAACATGTGAGCAGCACCTGATGGAGGAGTCTCATCAATTGGCCAAGCAGGCAGTGTTGGCAGGGAGATCAGCAGTAGGTGGCGCTAGAGCCAATGGGCTATTCTAGTTTTGTCCCTATCCTCCTGCAAGGGCAACATGAAGACTAAGGAGGAGGAAGATACCAGGCATGGCCACCCCTTGGACTTGTTATAAGAAGACAGGCAGATGATGCTGTGTGCAGACTTAGGTTGGAGGGATGGTGCCCCATTCCACCCTACCCCCTGAACAGCCTCCACTGCTTCCAGTGACTAGAAGGATCAGACTTCAGTGTTCTGCTTAACTCCTTGCCCCTCTCTATGGTTATTGGACGCAGGCCACATTAAAACAATAAAATAAAGAAATGAAATGTGCACCTGCATATGTTTTTTTTAAAAATTCAGAATTGTGGTTAGACGTGTCAGAAGTGTTGGCTCTTAGTTTGCCCTCCCCTATTCCACAAGCATCTTCTACTACTACTGACCACAAACATCATCTGTCTCCATGGCAATGATGGCCCTGGAAGAACCATGTGGCAAAGACTCAGAAAGACACATCACCAGTTTACACCAGAATTCAGCTGTGTTTATTTTGCTGCCTTATTAAGCAGGAGAGGTGAGCAAGACAAGACCGGGAGAGGCTTAACCGAGAGATATGCCTTTGAAGTTAAAGTCGCCTTCTACGCAGACATATTCAATGCCTTCCAAGTGAGCGCCGTTGGGGACCTTGAACTGATGGTTGCCAGGCAATGTGATGGTCAACTCGTTTTTGTCATGAGTGAAGAGCACCTGAAGGAGGGGAAAAAAGGGGTGGGGGTGGCGTGGTTTCAGCATGAGAAGAGCACCAACCATCAGTTATCCCAACTGCTGAGAGGGATAGCTCACTTGGTAGAGCATGAGACTCTTAAATCACAGGGTCATATGTTCAAGCCACATGTTGGGCAAAATATCCCCGCATTGTTTTTTTGGGCGGGTTGGACTAGATGATCCTTGTGTTCCCTTCCAACTCTTCTATGATTCTAGTTATCAAGCGACTGGACTGAAGTTATGGCTGCTAGTGGAAGATGCACATCTATCCTGGGCTTGCTGGCTTTTGACAGAATTCCTGGGCCTTTTTAGAACAGCAGAAGAGGCAGGAGTCCAGCAGGTAGTGTTTCCTTTCCATACTAACAGGATTGGGATCCTGTCCCCCCCCCCCCACTGAGGGCTGTTTTCCTTCCTGGGCAACTGTCTGGGGGCCACAGGCCAGTGTTGGGTGGGGCCAAACAGGTGACACAAAACAGGTAAATGTCACCTTTGGACAGCAGGCTAGTTACTACGCACACACTTAACACACCTGTCCCTAGCACCCATCCAGGCAAGGAAAAGGCAATGTCAGCATTTGAGGAAACATTCAGCCAGGCCAAAGCGCACGAGGAGGGTGTCAAGGGTTGTGGCCTGGGGAGCGTCTCAAAAGCCTGAGGATCTCTATCATCTGCATTCCAAGGCAGCAGGGAAGCATCACCTCAGTTTGGATCAGTTGCATAGGAACTGGGCCTCCAGTCCAAACCTCAGCAGCACCTTCACCCCATATTCATGCATTACAGAGTCCTCCATCCATGCCGCTTTCAAACGTGGCTTTGTCGCCTCTCCTTATGACACTTTCCCACTCAAACCCACATGCAGTCCCCCCTTTCCCCTGCCACAACCTGTGCAGATCCGAGTCTCACCTCCGCGCTGCTGCCCTCTTGGAAGGGGAAGTTGGTCTCCCTGTGTTCTTGGCCCCATTTCCCGTTGATCTTGGAGTTGCAGACAATGGTTCGGATGTCCCCGTGAGCATCGAAGCGTGCGTTGAAATGCAGCATGATGTCATTTTGGCCTTTGCCCAGGTTGATGACCCAACTGAAACAGGCGGCAGACAGTTAACTGCAAAGCCCTCATGTCTCAGGGATCCACTGCTACGCTCTTCAAATGCTCAATGAAGACTGGATGCAATCTAAATGCATATAAGCACACATACCCTGCAATCTTTGTGCTAGCAAATCAGGAGAGATGCTCAATAAACAGATCGTGTGGAGGAGCCCTTAGTGTCTCCACATTTACTTCAGAGTTGCCCAGAGAACCACAGTGGCAGCTGCTCCCCGTTCAGAAATTATTTCACAGACTCATAGAATTAGGCTACGTAGACGTTGCCCACTTAAAACTCAGCAAGGTCATTTCCCTCCCCTCACTGTGTTTCAAGGCGCATCAGTACGCTTGGATTTGTTTCCAAGTTGTCTGTCCACACATAGAAGCCAACTCCTAGGGGCTGAGGTCCCTTCAGCCCTCCCTCCAAAGTATTTGAGGGTGCCAGCCTCCCCCCATTGATGGGCATTGCAATTCAAATGGTGTGTGTGCACCACATCTTGTGATTATGTGGGGCAGGGCCTACCTGCCCCCCACCATATTTTACTCAAGTTGGCACCTTTGCAAGGGGGGTGGGACTGCCTCTGTCCGATGGATTATGGTTTATGTTTTCAAATTGGGTTGAAGCTGGCTTTGAAGTGGGGAACACATCAAGCCACAGTATTTCACAAAAAGCTACTCTGTCGTGGGTATCATTGTGTGTACAGGGATTCAAAAACCAGCGGTGGGAGAACAATGGAGCCACAGTACATGGCCATATGTACACAACTGCGGAGATCATCTTGTAGCAGCAACCAGTTCACCAGATGTTGGACGGCAACTCCCAGCCAGCATGGCAAATGGCCAGGGGTAATGGGAGTTGCAATCCAGCAACATCTGGAGGGCTACAAGTTAAGCTTCCTTGATCTAGGACCATCCCTCCGTTCAGTTTCTGTTCATGGAAAAATGCAAGCTGCTTCTACCTGTCCTAGAGGCAAGTTGAAGCAATCCCACAACACCTCTCCTTATCGAAGAATATTATCTGCCTCTTTTGAGTGACCCTCCCTACCCTTGAGGCGTCACCATGTAGGTGCAAGCCAGGGAGGTTTGGGGAATGAAAAACTAGGAAGCTTCACTGATGGTATCACAAGGAGATGGGAAGAGTTTGGGCATGTTCACCTTCAAGCGTTCCCAGTGATGGAGCCAAAATCCCTCTGATTTGGCCCTGAGGCCTCCTGCTGTCCAACCACAGACCTCCTCTTGCATTGCTGGAATTTCCCAACATTTGCTCATTAAGCCCTCTCTTTGAACAGTTACAGTTCCTCATATAATGAGAATTCAGAAGAAACAAAGGCAGCTCCAACCCTTGTCTTCTGGAAGCACTAGAACCACCTCTAGTGGCTAGATTTCACTGCTGTAGCATGTGATCGTGCAGCAGACAGAAAGGGGTGTGGTGCTGTCTCCCCGCTACTGTCTTTTTGGCAAAAGAAATCTGTCAGCCAGCAGAACTACTCAGCTGGGCCTTTGATGGAGCTGGTTTCTGGCCTATACAATTGCAGCCTCCTTCAGTTTGCTGCTTTATGAGAGCCCTTATTCCCCACCCCTGATTCATAAACTCTTCTCCTTTCATCTCAATCCAATCCCCACAAGCTAAATTTTGCTCAGGATTGAATCCAACCTGGTGCGGATTAGGGGGGTGTCTCAAACATGCAGATTCTTTTGGCAAATGTTCCGTCTTCTTCCTGCCCCTATTTGCGCTCCATCGCTCTGTGAGATCTAGAAGTGGCTTGGTGTGCATTTTTAAGTATTTCAGAGGTATACGTAGGTCAATGTGGGAAAGGCGGCTCTGCGGCAGAAAATCTCCTTCAGATGCAGAAAGTTCCAGGTTCAATCCCTGGTATCTCCAGAAAGGGCTGGGAGAGACCCTTTCCCGAAATCTTGGGAGAGCTGCTGGCAGTCACTGCAGGCGGTATAGAGTTAGATGGGCCAACGGTCTGACTTAGCTCTGGCATTAAGTCCTGGGCTGGCATGCCAGTACCCACGCAGGTGCCGAGGATGCCATACCTGCTCAGGACATTTTGCCGCTTGAGGCAAAAAAGGAAAATGGCGGAGGGAGGCACTGCTTTTTCTCTGCTGCCGCCTCACGTGAAGAGGCTGCCCAGTGAAGCCCTGGAGCAGTGAAGGTGGCAGAGGAGAGAAAAAGAAGGCTGAAGAGGAGCAGGTGGCAGTGGTGGGAATATTGGAGGAGGTGTGGTAGTGGCTGAATTGGAGGCAGCAGCAGTGGAGGAGGCAGGGAGTGGTCCAGATCTGACGCCACTCCTAGCTCTGCCTGCCACCCGAGGCGACTGCCTCACCGAGCCTCATGAGTGTGCTGGCTTTGGACCCTGGACTTTGGTTCCAATGGCCAACCCCAAATGCTCCACTGCTGCTAAGTGAAGCCCCCTGTTGGCTGCTATTTGCATCTCCGACCCCCTGCACATTCATTGCTCTTACACAACTGTGGCTGCTCCTTGAAAGTAGGCAAAGTTCTGTGCTCTCGTTTAAATGCTTACCCTGATTGCTGTGGGATGGATTGTACAGCTTGCCCTACAAAATCGAGACGCTTGTAAATCTGGGACAGAGGAGGGACTCCCAAGCGGAAAACCACAATGAGGAAAGAGAAAAAGCAGTGCGTTCGTCTGGAGAAGATGTACATTCTTCCTGGCAACAACACCAAGCGGGTCTTGACTGTGTACAGTGGGCATTCAGGGGAGAAAGGCTTTGCAAGAGGAGACTGAAGGGGCGGATGTGGGGGGGAGGGAGAAGGATGGTTGCTTCCAACATCTGGTTCTGTTTAGGCTCTTGGCAGGAGCAGCACAAGCATGGGGGAGGGGAGGCCATGAGCTGGTCTAGGTTCTGATGTAACACACTGGAAAATACTGCTGGGGGTGGGCATTACTCCTTCCCCTCCTTGGCAATTTCCACAAAAGCAAGGGTTTCTCCACAATGGAGAAAAATGTGTATTTGCACCGGCTTGTTTCCCCATTCCTGTTGGGACACATGGCATCCTCTACATAAACACCTCCCATCTCAGGGTTGCCCTTTTAAATGTGGTTGTGTCCCCCCCCCCCCAATCCTTAGAATGTCTGACATGGCCAGGATCAGAAAAAAAAAAATCCACATTTAAGGAGGGAGGAGATCTGGAGACAACCTGGGATGGGGTCCACCTTTTGCTCTGGTGTGGACACACCCTAAGACCAAGGGAAATGGGCTTCCTCTCTGTAGCTTAATGGGGAGCAGTTTTACCCCTAGGTCTCCCTCCTCCCTCACCAAGGGCATAGCTACAGACTTATCCATATTGCTTTTTAAGGTGGGCAGTAAGTTTCCTGAATCTTCATTAATTCTCTCTTGTGTATATGAAGTTTTTTTTCCAATCACTGCCTTTTCATGCTTCCTTCTCTCTCCTTAATCCAGACTTTCTCATATCGAGGATACTCCAGAAAGGAGAGGGAATGAGAAAATCTGGATTAAGAGCAGGGAAAGGGGTGGGCAGCCAGTGATTTTGCGGAGAATGTCATGCAGGGAACATCATTACTGTCAAACGACAATGGAGATGAGCCCTAGTGCTCCACGCTAGTTCAACAGTCATTCCGATGAATCCCTTGGAGTTTGGATATCTGGAAGACGAGGGGCAGTGCAGGTCTGCAACAGAGTTCTCAGTATGTTGTGAACGATGCCCAGGATTCTTTGGGGGAAGTCATGAGAGCCAAAGCTTCCCAAGGCCCATGCAAGTTTGGAATGTCTGCGTGCCCAAAGGTAATCTCTCCCTATGAAACCAGCTTACCTCTTTGCTCCTGCTGGGATATCACCTTTCACAGCAAGACGGGCGCCGGGGGCCACATGCAGGCTGGTGCAAGTAATTCCCTAGAGAAGGAATTGAGAGAGGAGTGATTTGTTCTCTCCCTTTGCCAAGCAGCAGTAAATTCTGGTCTGATTATATTATTGCAGATGAACTGCCCTCAGGAAACTTGCCCCTGTTTTCCTGCTTAACTAAGAGGGGGACAGGGAATCTGCGGCCCTCCAGATATCACTAGACTCCAGTTCCCATCAGCCCCAGCCGGCATGGCTAGCGGTCAGAGATGATGGGAGTTGTAGTCAACAGCACCCAGAGGGCCACCTCTATGAAAGAGGATGTCATGTTATTCGTCACCTACTAAAAAGAAATCCGAAACAAAAATGTGGGCATGTAGCACATTTGATTCCTAAGCTTCAAAGCAGGTTAATATTTTTAAAAAACCACCTAGTCTTGAAATAACTAAATATCTGGAAATTTTTGTGGCGTTAGGTTTGGCAGGCAAGAGTCTGTTTTCATCAGATGAATTAAATCAAGCGGTACACTCTTAAGCACCAGCTTGTCAGGTGATGATGGGAAACCTGTGTATGTTGGAACTACAACTCCCATCAGCCCAGACTATTGGGCATGTGGCTCTGAGTGTCCTGCTTCCAGACTCCCTGATACCCCATGCAAGGGAGTATGGTCCTCACCTCTCCTGCTTCAGATGAACAGAGAAGTTAGTGCACCACTCGCAGCCTCAGCCATCCAATCAGTAAAATGGGTATAAAACCTTGCTCCTTTTAAGCAGCAGCCTGAATTAAACAAGTGGGGCTTTTCCTGCCACAGAGATAAAGAGATGCCGGAATTGCACCCTCATCTTAGTTCCTGTGTTGGGAGCAGGGCCAGCAACAGCAGCCTAAGTTACAAAACTTCCCTAGAAAGAAGTGAAAATGATACATATTTTTTCCTCCTAGCAAGAAGGGAAAGGCTTAACTGGCCGCCGGCAGATGTTCCGAGCCACGCCCAGCCGCCTTTGAACATTCTCATCTCTCACATCCAACAGGTGCCTTTAAGTGCTTATAATTCATGGATTTATTATTACTCCAGGCTCCAAGCAAGTTTCAAAAATGGGATTAGAGAGTCTGGGCACAAGATAAGCTGGCGCCAGAAGGAGCTAGTTCCAGCAACTTTCCCTATCTGGTGCATGTCTCTGTGTGCGGTGGGAAGCTTATAGGCGGAAGACTAGGAAAAATGAATCCTCACAAACGCAAATCTTAGCAGAACTCCAGTCTTCGCCTTGCTACAAACATGCCCTTCTGAGAAAGAGAGGGTTGCAGGATCCCCATTGCTATGTGGTTCTCCCCTGACCACATCCCTCCTCCTGATTGCAGCATGTGAGGAGAACGCACAGTCTAATAGCCAAACATCCTATCTCACTACAGATGAATCAGCACAACTCCTGAAAAAAGCATCATCAATCGATAGCAGGACTCTCTCCCTTCAGCCTCCCTGACATGCCTGCAGATTTCCAGCACTAAGAGAGGCTGGAACTCCAGTGCCCTTGGTGCATTGGAACGTCTGCCCCTGTGGGCAGTCAGTGATACCCACCAGCTGCCCCCCACCTTCTCCCCAGACTCACAGGCATGATGCTGTCCTTCCAAGCTGTTTGCTCCTGTAGCTCACTTGGGTCCTTGCTCAAAGTTGTGGGGGACGAGAGTGCCACTCCCTTGCCCTTATATAGGCTAGCAGCTGAGGAGTCACAAGCTCCAACGACCAATCCAAAGGCAGCAGCAGAAGATGGGCGGAGAAGGGGGTGGCGGCAGCTATTTGTGGGGGATGTGGCACAGCCTTCCTTGTGGATGCTGAAGGCGGTTTTCATGATGCATCCCAGCCATTTGCTGGGAGAGGGAACATCCAGCCAAGTGCGGCAGTGACGAAGCCAGTGGAAAAATAGTTTTACAATGAGAGGGTTTTATTGTCCGGGATCTTTTAAAAAATTAAACATGGCAGTTGGCAGGCACAGTCCTGGGCCTCTTTGTTTAAAAAAAGAGCCGAGAGCAACTAGAAGTACCAAAGCCAAAAGATGCAGAGAGATATTGGAATAAACGGCCTTTATAGAAGAAGGCAAAGGAATAAAATCAACATACGGAAGAAACGGCATGTATTTATGTAACACAGATATGAAAATGTTTGGAAACTTTACAGACAGTTAAGTCTGTGGCCTGTGGCCAAACACTCTAATGTGGCTTCACAGCTCTGAAATGCAGGGGAAAAACAGGATTTACTGAGCTGGAAGTGTCTTGACTATTTAAGCCATTATCCATGCTCAAATCAACTTATCACACGTTTGTCCAACAAGCAGTGATGGACACTCAACAACATCTTCTAATAATTGGTTCTGCCGCCCAACTCTTCTCCTACTTTGAGATTTTAAACCTAAATCTTTGCTCCTTTTTGCCTTCATCTCCGGAATTGGAGTGGGGAGAGAAAGAGAAGCCTAGTCCTCTTTAGTTTTTGCACATCTTGGCATGCGTGGCTTCTTCTGTCCCAAAGCCACCACTAGGGGCTCACCTGCATGACACATATATAGGGCCACACCCCTGTTCTCCACATTTATCCATCTGAAATACCTACCATACCACACCCTAGTCCCATGCTTTTAGCTACCATATTGGAAGATTAACCTCGTTACCAGCCCATTGTTACCAGCTAGGTGGATGTTAAACACAACCAGGGTAAGGTTGGGAAACCCAAAGGTAGCAGCCCCACCCAATGAACGATCAATTTCCTTGCCCATTCCAAGAATGTAGAAAATACTGGCATCAAAATATACACACACCCTGTAGTTGAGAAGACCTATGGAGAGCCAAAGATTCCTCACACCTTCATTAAAGACATTATATGACAGGGTTACTATATAAGTCTATAGTGACACTAAGCGCTTCAAACTGTGGCTGGCTTGTTCCCACGCAACATCTCAGTCTCCAGACTGCCAGCTTTTCCATTTGTATTACACAACAGAATAAATGTACTACAGACAGGCAGCATCATATACCCCAACAGGTGCGACTAAGAACAAATTCAGTAGAAGCCAACAACCCGTACCACAAGTTCCAATATCCGAGGGAAGGATATCATTGCACTTATTCCATATTGCAAGAACAAAGGGTTATTGCTGAAAATTCCAACCTTTGCTTGGTTTGTGCTCACATTGTCCAGTGAGTATGTTCACACGCTGTTCTTGTGCTGGATATGTGCCGCCAAACAGAGGGACTGTCTTGTCAAATGTTACAGCAAGGAACATTGGCTTGTGCATGTGGGTTTCAAACCGAGGCATCTTCCTCACCCCTTCCACGCTAGCAGCCAGCCAGTGCTTGATAGCATTGACTTGACTCTTGGTTTGGTGATTCCTTCTTTGCAGAGATACAGGAGAATACATGTTGCATGCAAGGATCACTGGTTCAGCTCCCCACCGAGAAGATAAATGTTGAAACATTTCAGCAACTATGATAGGAGAGCCTGCTGGATGGATGTGGTGGTGGGGGGGGCAAGTGTTGTTTGTAATCATTGTAATAAGTACAGTTGAAATGCATGTAACATGAAACAAAGATCTGTCTTGCTTTTCTGCTGAAGCACCCAGCACAGAATGGAATCCAGCGTGCTGGCTGGGGCTGATGGGATTTGTAGTCCAGAACATCTGGAGGGCATCAGGTTGGCGAAGCTTGGTGCATCTCGGTCGATCCCTGTTGTTAATCTGCACCTGCACTCAAGCACATGAGAAAGCCACCAGGTGGGGATGACTCATGCATGGCTGCTAAAAGAGGAAGAGGGTGAAGCTTGCCGGCTTGGGGTCTCAGGGTTTGTTCGGCTGGTGGCCAAACCTCCCATCCATCCTTGGCTGGGTGTGTCTTGAGGCAGCCCTAATGCTTCTTTCAAACAGAGCGAGCAAACCGTTTGGTGCAAAAGGCCCTTCCAGAAAATTCCGCATCTTTTGAAATCTACCCACATTTGGTAGACCAGACCAATTGTGACTCATTCTGAACGGAAAATGCTTCCCCCCCCTTCTTTTTTTGGAAGGGGGGGACGAAATAACTTCTCTGCAAGAGCAGCATCTGTATAATTAAATCTGTAGAGCAGCGCAAAACCAGGCTGCAGGCCAAACGTCTGCTTTTGTGGTTTGTGTGGCTTTGCTTGCCTTGTACTCTTCCACCCCCTCCCCTCATCACAAGATAGGCTGAAGCTCTTCCAAGAGATTCAGAACAAATCTTTCTTTCTTCCTCTACTAGGTTCGTTTCTCTATGCTTATGGCAATAGCATTAATGGTTCACATATCATTTTAGCCCTCTAGCATAAATTCCAGAGTTTAATAACAGTTTGATGGTGTGTAGTACAAAAGACAGGAGGCACTGCAGAACTTTGGTGGGTGGTGGTAGCACAGGACAGGAAAAAAAGAAATCTTGTGGGGAGGGATAATTCTCAACTCTTGTTCAGCAACAGAGTGACTTCCCTGTTACCATTGCACTAGCCCCGATTTTGAATTTGCAGCTTGATAACTGTATGCTGGTAACAAGGCCTCTGAATTGCAGCTATCTATGTCAACAATTCCATCCAAGTCAACAGAATCATGAAATTGACTATGGCAGCTGACAAGCTGTTTCTGGCCTGGTGTCAATTTCGTGCCCACCCGAAAGTGTTTTGGAGATGGGGAAGAGGAGTGGGGAAAGAAAAAAAGTGCTTTTGAATGACAGATCACTGCTGAGAGTGAGAAACGGCTTTGCACTGCTGCTTCTCCCTTTTGAAAAGTCTGCATCGGTGCATGTGTGGAAAATCAGGCACACAGAGTTCAAGTGGGGTGGGGTGGGAGGTGTATGGGTGTGTGTGTCCCGCTTTCCCAACCAGAAACGTTGGAAGGCTTGCAATGAACATCACTGTCCAACCTGGGATAATCAGGGAAGTAACTACAGAGAGGGCAGTCAAGGAAGCCTCTTTACAGATGAGTGAGTCCAATGCTATTCTCTCACCTGGACAAAAGCTTCTGGTTCTCACCTGCTGGTCTCAGCTACTAGCTCTGTTCTTGCTGGCTATAAACTGTCTCCACCCTCAGCTTCACAGAAGCTGAGTTAGACATGCGAGAAGTCTGCAAACCAGAAGAGAGATATTATCTATCAACTTGGGGAAGAGGAAGGAAACAGAGAGAATTAAATAGATCAAAAGTCACTCCTTGCAACTCCCCCCGCAACAGAAGCAATTCTGCTATATTCCTCTTTTAGCATTGAGTTCCCCATCAGTCTCCAACCTTCCCTTGCCTACAGGATATCTTGCATCAGAAACATGTACTGAAACCCAGTGCTTGCTAGCTAGGCTGCCACACCTTTGTGTGAGTCATTCCTAAGACATTGGCCCCCAAAGCACCTGGCAACATCTGCCCGGCACCTGAGAGAGATTTTAATTATGATGAACGGTGGCAAGACCAGAAAGAGTGTTAACAAGTATATTAAGTCAATGGAATGCTTTCTATGCAACAAGGACTGAGAAGGCCCATTCACACACCAAAACATCCCTGGATGTTGCAGTAATCGAAGAATGGACATACAGGCGTGAACTAGGCTTGGCACAGGCACCCAGTGGTGACTGGTGGTCTTTGGTGCTGACAGGAGGGGCCATCGTAAAGACTATCACACACTGCCCTGGCTTCCTCAAGCCAATCCAAGATGGAAGCTCCTGCTCTGGAGCAGGTTGGCAGGAATAAGGAACATTATTTCAAGCTGAGGGCTGCCTCCCCTTCATGACACATCTTCTGAAGGGGTTCCATGGCAGTGGTGGGAAGGGCTGGAGCCAAATGTTGGTGAGGCCAGAGCCAGATTCCCTTTTCCTTATACGCATACAGATTCTAAGCATTAGAAATAATAGTAAAATACAGTAGCGGCCTATGTACTGGGGTGCTGCCCTGACACTGGGGTTGATTCTACACAGTGGTTGCTCCCCATCTCCATGACACTGAAATCAGAAATAAGGTCAAGTCTACACCATACATGGTTCCCTCCCCCAAGAATCCTCAGAACTGTCGCTTGTTAAGAGTGATGGGAATCATAGCTCTGTAAGGAGTAAACTACAGTACCCAGAATTCCTTTGGGGAAGCCATGCACTTAAAATATATAGTGTGGGTGTGAAGTAGAACTGCCTTAGGGGAGTAACCACATCATCTAATTCTCCCTTGTCATGACCAGAAAGAAGTGGCAACAGAACATCACATGTTTTTTTAAAAAAGCAGCCCAAATTTCAAAGTTACAATCCTGAATACTCCCTTTTTTATGCAGATTGGTTGTTAACAGTCCAGGCTAATCCACTGAAATTTCATCAGTGGGAACTAACCATTAAGACGTTTTTTTGGGGCGGGGTATGGAATCCCTAATATGGAATGAGAATCTTTCTTATGGGCCAACATGGGCTTTTCCTGTGACTTGGAAAATGCCAAATTTAGCCATTCAACAAGGGAGGATAATAAACTGGAGGAAGAGGGTTTTATGCCACCAGAAAATGGGACTCCATTCTCTGAGGGAACAGTTCCCTCTGACAGCTGGGTGAAGCTACCCAATTTGTCATCTATTGACTTATTGACTAGCACACTACCAAAAATTAATCTCCACCGTTGCTGGTAGAAACACTGCCTGGTTTCTTTGGATTCCTGTTCTCTGCTTATCAAGGAGCTTATGCATTTTGCCTACGGATGGAGACGGACCTGGGCAGAAGCCAGTTCTTGTGTCTGATGGGGAAATCAAACTATTGTTCTGCTTCTTCTTCCCATCAGGCCTTGCTGCAACTACCTGAAACCTGTCTAGCACCTTAAAGAGCTTCATCTGAATGTCTGCCACCTTCTTG